TATGACCATAGAAAACTTGTATGAATACAGTTATAGAATACAATTCAAATATGCTGTAAGCTTAATAAAACTCAATTAAACAAAAAAGAATAACCAATGGTCTTTAAATCAATAACGGAGAAATCAGTCTTGTTAGAGACATACCATAGACAGACATGGGAAATCATAATCTCCCAAAGTCTTAACCGGGCAAGTTTTTAGTTATTGCCCTTGTAGGCAGACAGACGAGCATACTGCTCACCTGATGGTGGATGATTGCGTCGCCCATTGACGTCATCAATGCTAGGGGTACAGTCTACCGTTAGATGCCACCGTACCACCGTCGTGTATTCGTCCCGCGAATCAACAATGTGTTCCGGTTTTAGGGCGGGCTGAGATAATCTCAAAGATAATTGTGACACCTCACGTTTAAAATTAGGTAGCGACATTGACGTCACATACAATTATATCAGCGTCCACATATAATTATATGTATGAGCTCCGATAAACGCTTAGAATTAGATTAGGCCTCAGGCTCGTTAACTGCCCATCTACTCCAATAAACAATATTATAGTACAGATTTCCAGAACATTTGGAACAAGAAAATAAATTGCGCTTAATATCACCTGATAATTCACACAGTGCCAGGGATAAACACATAACAATAATAAAATAGTACTAAAGGTCCCGCACTAGTCGAAATTCGACTATAATTAATTGGAATTGTAAGTTTGTACACTATTATGATTGTATTTTATACTTCTATAATCACAAATTTTGCCAAGGCTACACTAGAAAAATATACTAAAAAAGACAAACAATATTTAATCTATTCTCAATTTGACCACAGACGTCAAGAACAAAAGTTTGACAATAAATAGTATGCATGCGTGTGTGCATCAAATACATGATATGTAGTGTGTGTAATGTTTTCTTTATTGATTTAATGTATCTTTTATGCATTATTAAAAAAAAATATTAGCATTGTGCACTTCTTCTCTATATTCTCTATAAGTGTGGAAAATTTCGAAAAAAGGGATACAAAGTTTTTGCTTCAAGTATTAATATATATAGATAATCCGAGTCTTAACGTTTTCATTTGTTTTCTTTTTGCCAATTTCCAATGTGGTCATTTTCTCTCGTAACTTTTCCAACAAACAAATAAATCGCGATCACTCGCATTATTTAAGTGTAATAAAACTAAGTTGTGCGTGACCATTTTGCAAATAATTTTGTATAGGTAAACTTTCACAATTTATATTAATAAGAAAGAATATCTACCACAGATTAAAACATAATAGTGCGGAGGTGTGTACGTGGGAACAATCCCAGAGTTCACGTGCTCGACTCATCGCTCTGCCGTACCAAATCTAACATTAATATGCTAGATTAAGATAAAATCCCTCATTTACTGTTGAAGAAGTCATTATTAACATATTTTAAATAATCAGACTACAAAACTACAGTTAATTTCATTACTTAATCTCTTTTATATGAATTAAAAATTAACTCTTTATACTCGCCTTTATTATAATCGATGTTTTGTCGATAAAGACATATGGTGCAATGTTATAAGCAAGTTGCACCTACATATCGCTTTAGGTTCATTGTCTAATATTATTTAAAACATAATCGTACTTCGAAATAGCTCACAAGAAGTTACTTTATATAGCGAATATAAAGTAACCATGAATGAAATATGTAATTAAAATGAATGCTATGTCGTGTAGGCTCGTGCGGTTGTTGACGACGGGCATAGGCAATAATAGTGTCTAGTTAGTGGTTCCGGATACGTATCGGACGTGTCGGATGTCTACGTGAGTCACGCGGCGCCCACGCCGAGTCACCGCGCCCACCGGCGCCCGAGCCGCTTCACATTCTATCCTGCGAAATCTCTTAGCAAATAAAAATTAATATGATAAATTAACGGTAAAAGACTCTTACTGGTGGTAGGACCTCTTGTGAGTCCGTGCGGGTAGGTATCACCACCCTGCCTATTTCTGCCGTGAATCATTAATGCGTTTCGGTTTGAAGGGTGGGGCAGCCGTTGTTACTATACTGAGACCTTAGAACTTATCTCAAGGTGGGTGGCGCATTTACGTCGTAGATGTCTATGGGCTCCAGTTAAGTAAGCTAACCACTTAACACCACTGGTGGGCTGTGAGCTCATCCACCCATCTAAGCAATAAACAAAAAAAAAAAAAAAAATACGCCCATCTAATATAATAATCGTAAAACAAATAAATAATAATAGCCTTTTGTTTTATATGACTGAAACATATCCTGTCAAGTAGCGCAGTTCGATATTGTAACGCAGCGTTGTTACCTACAATCGTAATGAATACGCGGCAAATCTAACACGCACTGTCAACTGAATTAACCCGGACGCCCGTTGCCGGGACGGGTTTAGCTGTGTCTGTGGCGCGTCTAGGCTATTTGTATTTTGGCATTGAACATTTCGCAGTCTCGTGGGAAACTGAGTTGAACGACTGCGGAGACAATGCGGTTGCCTGGTGTCGCGTCCAGTCCCCCACCCGCGCGCCCTCTCGCCTAAACCGTTGCTGATGTTCGCCCTTTGTATAATAAACTTGGACACAATTACCATATACCTTTGTCACTCAAAAATAGACCTTCATTAAAATAAATCGTAAACATATTTGACTGGTGGTACTTTTTACTGGTGGTAGGACCTCTTGTGAGTCCGCGCGGGTAGGTACCACCACCCTGCCTATTTCTGCCATGAAGCAGTAATGCGTTTCGGTTTGAAGGGTAGGGCAGCCGTTGTAAACTATACTTGAGACCTTAGAACTTATATCTCAAGGTGGGTGGCGCATTTATTACGTTGAAGATGTCTATGGGCTCCAGTAACCACTTAACACCAGGTGGGCTGTGAGCTTGTCCACCCAGCTAAGCAATAAAAAAAATGTATATATATAAAAAAGTCGAGAAATCTGTGTGTCGTTCTAATTTCATACAGGCTATTAACTTGCCGTAATGAATCGAAACAACCCTATTTCAGCAATACAGTACTTAAGGGAAGGCACGAGGGTTCGTCTGTGCGACAACGGGGTCGATAGAAATTGGCAGCGAGCCAGCCGACAGCGCCGCTGACCATAAATTACACCCTCGCCGTTCTAAAGAGGAAACTTACCACATGAATAGATTTTATTTCGTAACATAACGGCCTGAGATTGCTGAGTATCAAAAACATTGACGGGAACTCTAAAACGTATATATAATATAACTAAATATATTGTCTATATAAATACAAAAATAAACAGGTACATAGACATTATAAATTTAGAGTCATTTAGAACTAGAAGTAAATTTAAATAATACTTATAGATTCAGTGTATGTTAAAACATGCAGATATATTAAAAGAAAGAGAATAAAACGGAAGTCTTCACTCTTTTAAATTTAATAGAGATTAACATCATTAATAGTAACTACTTTTTAACACATAAGATGAAAAAAAATTATAGGAAATCGGAAATATTAAACACGCACCCACCAACACCACCTTTGTTAATTATTGATAATCATTTTGGCCCTTTTGCACTTATTACTAAAGTAAATGGTCCTTTTTCTCGTTTATTCAAAATATTTCACGTTACACCCATTCTTAAGAAGCATAAACATAACTTGAAATTTGAATAATAAAAGTGAATTTATTATATCACTAGCGACCCGCCCTCGCTTCGCTTCGGAAACATTAAAATACACAAGAAACCAAAAAAAAAAATGAAAAAAAATATAAAAAAAGTAGCTTATGTTCATCAGGGACAATGTCGGCTTCTAATGGAAAAATAATTTTTCAAATCGGTCCAGTAGTTTCGGAGCCTATTCGAAACAAACAAACAAACAAATCTTTCCTCTTTATAATATTAAGTATAGAGTATAGATAAATTAAAAATGAATGTTTTTTGCCCTCCCTCTATTCACTTCCTCTTTTGACATTATCATCCCTGAAGAACTTAATATTTCCACATAATATATCTAACAATATCACTTAGGATTAATATGTAGTAGTATGTCTGAGTAGTATCTATCAAAGCTTCTGCAGGATTCTTAAATTTAGATTTCTATTGTCCTATAGTATGGTTATAAATATGCTGAAACATTAAGTAGAAGTATCATCTAGTAAAACTGGTTAGGAGTATTTATATGAAAGAAATTTTGTAATTTTTTTTTTATTGCCCTTGTAGGCAGGCATACGAGCATACGGCCCACCTGATGATGAGTGGTTACCGTCGCCCATGGACTTCAGCATTGCCAGGGGCAGAGCCAAGCCGCTGCCTACCGCTTAATACTCTCCACAAGCCTCGTTTGAAGAAGGACATGTCATAGCGCTCGATTTTTTTTACTGTCTTATAAATTCTTGCCTATTAATTCATTCAGCCGGTCGAGTTTATACTTTTTACAGAGTGAATGTTGACATTTGCGTGAAAGTTTCAAACGTATTTACCAGTTGCAAAACACGTAGCCATGTGGATGGAACTTCTTCTTTATTGTAACATGTAGATTTGCTTTTTTCATTGCCATAAATAGGGAAATAAACTCACGACCCATCTCTCAAGCGAGTCCATTAAGGACCTTTGTATACTACGTAGCTGTAATCCGCAACTTTGCCCTTTAGCGGTCACGGAAAAGAGCCAACTATTTTTTCTAACGTGTAACATGTTTTTTCTAAACATAATAAAATAGTTTCTCGTGGAAACGATTTTTTTTTGTTAATATTAGGATAAAAGTTGGCTTAGTTTTTTTTTATTTTCGCTAGTCATGTCGAACAAAACATGTCAATCTGTTGCTTTGATGTTTCGATGTGCAAGAAGGACAAACAAACACACTCACTCAATTATAATATTAGTGTGTATGTAAATATATGAGTTGCATACGTGTATACTTGATTAAATCTACACCCATAAGCATAAGCTATGTATCCACAGGAATTATAATAAACCAAAAATGATGGGTTGACCAGAATAATTTAATTATGCAAAGTTTTTTTTTCTTTCTCAGATGAGTGGAAAGCGCACCCGCAGCTATAGATGCGCAGTTCACCACCGAGATCGTGAAATCAGCTCGGAAAACGATTTCAAGCTTTTACTAGAAGATCCAACATTATTCGCCAGGTGATTAATTTTTTTATTTGTTTTTTCATTGCTTCGATAGGTGGACGAGTCCACCTGGCGTTAAGTGGTTACTGGAGCCCATAGACGTCTACAAAGTAAATGCGCCACCCACCTTGAGATATAAGTTCTAAGGTCTCCGTATAGTTACAATGGCTGCCCCACCCTTCAAACCGAAACGCATTACTGCTTCACCGCAGAAATAGGCGGGGTGGTTGGTACCTACCCGTGCGGACTCACAAAAGGAGCTACTACCAGTAATTGTTATTCTAACAGCCGAGAAATCGGACCTTGTCTTTTCCTTCTTCAGCCAACGCATTACACACTGTATTAATTGTAAATAAATAATACTCTAGAACAAGGATGAGCAACACGCGTCCCGCATTACTAAAATTAAATTTATTTTATCGACTTCTTTAATTTCTTTTTTTTTAGATTTGTGCGGCCTGTCAAAGCAAAATAAAATTTAAATTGGCCCATTGATTAAAAAGTTTGCTCACCCTAGCTCTAGGACTTCATTGTCGTTACGAAAACATTTAAAAGAAAATCTTGTAGAGTAACTATAGGTATACATGTGTTTTTCATTGTAACAAACCAATAAAGCACGTCAATGAATTAATGAATCAGTAATTTGAAATTATTTACTACAATGCATAACAGGAAAATTATTATTTGTGATAGACAAAAAAATACAAATGAACATAAAATGGGTACTATAAACTCCTTGAATGTGTTTATGGAACAAAATGAAATAAATGACGTTTAAGTCACCATGACAAACGCGAAATGTGCACCGGAAACTATTTGGTTATTGCCACAACAAATTCCAGTGAAATGTTACAATAAATACATTGAAAATATAAATTTTTGTATTACGTAAATTTCAAGTATAATCTGACTCTGAAAGGCCACGTATCGATTGCTGTAGCTAAATATATACACATTTTTATGTTCAAGTGTCGTGTCACAATGACATATGGTGTGATTTCGTATAATAAAAACGTTAAGAAATCGATTTTATACAGGCCGAGAACACAGGGAAAGCAAGTTAACTGATTGCTTCCACGTTCGAAACGGAAACTAATATGTTTTTTTTTTTTTTTCGTTTTGTCACTGAACGTGAAACAACTACCCCCTTAAGCCGATCGTAAATTCCTTCACGAGGTATTGAAACAAAATTATTCGTTTTCAGTTTTCACGGTAGCTCGGAGGGTTTTGGAATTTATAATCACGAATCTTAAACAATTATTTTGTAATCGCTTATAGGATGGTGCACATAGTAGCGATGGGCATGCTCCCCGAGGAACGAGATCGGAAGTATTATCAGGAGCGCTACACGTGCTGCCCACCGCCATTCTTTATCATCTGCGTTACACTGTTAGAGGTATGTTGCTTGTTTAATTTTTATTCCAAAAACTAGCTGACCCGGTAGACTTCGTAGTGCCTCAATCGATAAATAAAAGGACTAAAAGACCTAAACTTTTGTATAAAATAAACTTAAAACAAACAAAAGGAATCCGTCCGACGGAGGACACATCAAAGGAAAAACAAAATTGTTGTTTTTATTTAATTCCGAGCATTTTCATATTTATCTACCTTTTAAACCTTCACTGGACTTCCACAAATAATTCAAGACCAAATTTTTCCAAATCGGTCCAGCCGTTCTCGAGTTTTAGCGAGACTAACGAACAGCAATTCATTTTCATATATATAGATAGATATAGTTCTCTTCATAATTATCTCCAATATTATAGATTTATTGATGGCGTTGATCTTCGTAACATTATGTTATTATTTGAGAATTTTGTGTATTTTTAATAGAACTCGTTCATTTTTCGTTGAATACTGGAACTGTTACTCCCGCCTCATTGGAGACGTGAGGTCGAATTAGAATTAGTATAAAGACTATCTATTTCTTCGTTTTGCGTCTGAAGTACTTATACATACATTTCGCTCTTGTAGTGTTTAATATGTGGGTAGATACTTCTTACACTACGCTGTTCCGATCTTCTGAGTTATATAAATGAATGTTTGTTGCTTTGTTTGTTTGTGTGTATCCTCGTCACTATAACTTGAAACTTATTGTTATTGGTTTACTCATAGACACAGCCCACTGAGTTTCTCGCCGGATCTTCTCAGTGGGTCGCGTTTCCGATCCGGTGGTAGATTCTGCGAAGCACTACTCTTGCTAGAGCCAGTCACAGTCTTAGCAACACTTCTGGTTTGAGCCCCGTGAGCTCATCTACATGTTAAGGGTGAAGCTGAATTAGCCTCTCAAGGCTATCAGCATAGGTAGGAAAATAAATTATTGGACGGATAGGTTTCTGATAATATACAATCAACACATGAATAGTTAAGAGTAAATACGACACGTGCTGTTGTTGTTCGTGCATCGTAACTATATTCCAATTACGAAGTACCATGAGACAGATGTTATTATTATTTTATTGTGTGTGAATTAATGATTTAGATTGATTGTGTATTTTTTTAATGATGTTTACGACCATGAACAAAAAATGATTATTATTTCAAATTTAATGCGAAACGTGAAGAGTTACGTTCTAAGAAGTGTCAAAAGGGACTTCGTAATCGGAATAGATTATTATAGTCAAGTTATGATATAAAATATCAACCGTGCATTCTCATCACTTTCTACGGCTCTAGCAGCGGTCGGAGCCCCGCTCTAGTTACCTCGGTTAATTAAAATTTGTAATAGCGGATTTCACATCCGCGCGCGCGAACGGGCGGTTTACGTGAATCACAACAATCGAAGCACGCGCGTCTTCGCTCGTCACACGTTGATTCATCGCGCCACGCACCGGCCCAAATACAGGCCTGGCCCGTTCCTGTAACTTATACTAGCTGACACGGCAGACTTCGTAGGGCCTCAATCGATAAATAAAAGACCTAAACGCTTTGTATAAAATAAACTTAAACCAAACAAAAGGAATCCGTCCGATGGAGGAGCGGGGAGGGCATCAAAGGAAAAACAAAATTGTTATTTTTATTTAATTCCGAGCATTTTCAAATTTATCTACCTTTTAAACGTTCTCTGGACTTCCACAAATAATTCAAGAACGAAATTAGCGAAATCGGTCCAGCCGTTCTCGAGTTTTAGCGAGCCTAACGAACAGCAATTCATTTTTTTTTATATATCTTATTAGAATTTAACAATTGATTGCCGTGTAGGTCACCAATGCCCTACGCAGCGCACTGAAGCAATTACATCGCTTTCTCCCTTCGATTTTCTTACTAAGGCACCAGAATATCTAGTAGACTCGGTGAAAGATGAATCCTAAGATACCCGAGAATGAATCTAGTTCTAAGAGTCCTAAAAGACTAAAACATACATATCATAACATGAAAAAATCGACATAATTACTTCAGTGCGCCGCGTAGGGCACCAGTGACCTATATAGCAGTCAACGTATTAAGGATTTCCCAAATATTGTACGGTGACGGTATAATTCTGTTTTTTTTTCTTCATATATAATTATAATGCTTAAGTTTTAGCCCTCGAATCGGATAGAATTGATAAAATAAATGTTTAAATTAAGCCGAGCCTGTATACGTGTTGAAATTGTGAGAAAAACAAAAATTTCCCTTAAATTTCATATCTCTTTAATGGCCGCATCACGCCCAACCGAAAAAGAGTTCATCACCTTCCACCTGGTATACCATCCCATTGTCACATTATGAAGTTTTTTACCATAAGGCTCCCAATCTAAACGATGTAATGTAAACTCTCCAATGTAAACGATGACATGTCATTGCCAGGGCTTGAAAAAATCATTAGCGGTGAAGATGGCACGGCAGTTTTGTTGTCTCATTTACTATAATCGCTGCCGAAAAAATCGTTGGATTTATTTTTGAACCACCTTCAAATGTAAAGGAAGTAGTAAGTCTTTAAGTCGTATGTTTTTAAATTATAGTTGGGTGTGTTCGCGTGGTACGCGTGGGGAGCAGGCGGCGTGGCGGCTGCGGCAGGTCCGGTCCCTGTCGATTCTCCGCTGGTGTACCGTCCCGACAGGAGACGAGAAGTGTGGAGGTTCCTGACGTACAGCGTCGTCCACGCCGGATGGCTGCACCTGGCCTTCAACCTACTAGTGCAATTGGCCGTACGTATTAACATAATACTAGTGGTCCCGCAGTAGTCGAAATTCGACTATAATTAATGGAAATTATAAGTTTGAACATTATTATGATTCTATTGTCAAATTATATAATCACAGATTTCGCCAAGACTACACTAGGCAAATATTAATAAAGACAAACAATATTTAATCTATTCTCAATTTGACCACAGAATATAAGCAATATGAAAAGTTTGACAATAAACAAATACTATGCATGTGTGTGTATGTCAAATACATGGTAATGGTGTGTGTAATGTTTTTTTTATGGATTTATTGTATTTTTTATGTATAATTTTAAAAAAATATGAGTATTCTGCACTTCTCTATATTCTCTATAAGTGTGGGAAATTTCATACTCCTCCGTCCGCGCAATTTTCGTAAAAAGTGTTACAAAGTTTTTGCTTCACGTATTAATATATAGATATCGTCGTTATCAAACAGAAATCTGCTATGTGCACTTTTCGAGATTTTAACTTTTTGACCTTTTCGTATAGTTCACAGTCCTATCTACCGTATCAAAAAAAACTGTTACGTGTCTATAGCTTTAGCTATAGCTAAAGCATAGAGAGGAGATGCATGTGACTAGGAGATGTATAGAAATGGTAGTGCAAGGTAGAGGGGGACCAAAGAAGACATGGATGAAGTGTGTGAATGACGATATGAGAGAGAGAGGAGTGAGTGTTGAGATGACGTCTGATAGAAGAGAATGGAAGAGAAAAATTAGATGTGCCGACCCCACCTAGTGGGATAAGGTGGAGAAGAAGAAGAAGATGTGTCTATAGCTTTAATATTTATCTATAGCTTTCATTTAATACAGTTCTTAAAAATTCACTTTCATATCTTATACCTTTAAACGAGCAATTCTTGTATATATAATCTTAATCTCGGAAACGGCTCCAACGATTTTCATAAAATTTAGTATACAGGGGATTTCGGGGGCGATAAATCGATCTAGTTACGATTTATTTTCAGAAAATGTTGTTTTATTCGTGTTTTCAATAATCAACTCTTCCCGACATCTATTGGCGAATAATAATACTATTTTTCTTAATTGAGGGCAACTAACCGCTTTAAAGACACAACAAAATGGCGCTATAAAAAAACCATCTAGTAAAATTTTATACGAAAATGTTTTTACTCGTTAATTCAAAATAGAGTTTTTGCACATAGCAGATTTTGGTTTGACAGCGACGATATCATGCATAGAAACCCTACCTAAATTCAGACTTCCTTATAAGAAACACATATTAAGGAAAGAAATAGGTAAATTGATGCAAATATATAATAATTCTACAAAATGGTAACGTTTATTAGTCATATAAATTTACGTATTGGAAGCGCCGGGAGAACCCGCTCGGGTTGATACCGTCAGTCCGGTCAATTTAGACATAAAAATAGCGGTCAAATAACAAAATTTCCCAGAGAGTCAAATAGCTGGAAGTTAACCATTACAAATAAGGTTTTAAAAATCCCCATCCATCCTATGTGTGCTACAAAAGCTATTCAGGGTCAAAGGTTAAAATTTAAAGTTTTTTGGATTTTTCTCGAAAAGGCAAGTTGTATCGAGAAAAAACTTCAAATCAAAGTTGTAGATCTTAAAACTCTCTACAAAAATAGTCCTTATGATTTTTTTTCCCAAGAGTTACCATTCCTTAAGTATCGCTAAGAGTCATGAAGAGAAATAAACTAATATAAATATACCATCCTCTCTATTCTGCCGCTAATCATGCGGATGTTCAGTAAAACAGTTATTAATCAGACAAACAAACGTGTACACATACATACATGCATAAATGAATACACACCTACATACAACATAGGGTAACATTGAACCAATGCAATTTAGACTTCAATTTACATGTTTTTTTCTTAATTGCTTTGATAGGTGGACGAGCTCACAGCCCACCTGGTGTTAAGTGGTTACTGGAGTCAATAGACATCTACAATGTAAATACCGCCTTAAGATACAAGTTCTAAGGTCTCAGTATAGTTACAACGGCTGCTCTACTCTTCAAACCGAAACGCATTATTGCTACACGGCAGAAATAGACAGGGTGATGGTACCCAACCGTGCGGACTCACAGGAGGTCCAGTAAAAAGTTCTTTATTTAATTGTTAACAGGTTGGATTGCCTCTCGAGATGGTGCACGGCGCGGTCCGTTGCGCCGCGGTGTACATGGCCGGCGTGCTGGGCGGTTCGCTGGCCGCGTCCGTACTAGACCCGGACGTTTGTTTGGCGGGCGCGTCCGGCGGAGTGTACGCGTTGCTCGCGGCGCACCTAGCGAACGCTCTACTCAACTTCCACACGATGCGGTACGGGGCCGTGAGGCTCGTCGCCGCCCTGGCGGTGGCCTCGTGCGATGTCGGATTTGCGGTGCACGCGAGGTACACGAAGGTGGGTTTACGAGTCATTTATCGTACAGGGCACGCGCGCATTCACATCAGCACTTTTATACTTTTTTACTCAAATCGTAGAATAAAGCGCCAGTACACGTTCAGCACTAATATACAGCGGTACTCATCACGTCAACATAGATAGAATTAGTTACTTGTTCGCGAAGTATATAATAAACGAATATTCTTTGACTATCAGTGATTTCTCAATCTAAATCTCAAGTTGTGTACGCCACATTCAGCAGCGTATACATCTTTATGGTCCTTCAAGCCGGATGGATTAAGTGATGTGAATGCGCGCGTGCCATGTACAATCGTACAGTGGGTACGAAATTTGAAAATTAATCGTTTCGTATAAATATTTAAATTATCCAATAGGGTTTTACATCCAAAATTTGTTTAAAAATATTAATATCACTTCATTAACTTTTTTTTATACTTTCGGTCTTTTTATCATACATACGATTTATAGTACTGCTTTAGTTGGGATTTAAAAGACTTATTTCGATCTCACGTGACGATGTATCAGCCGTGAGCTCTGTTGATCCAGTGCAAGAAATGGGTTGTATTACCTGTTAGAACATAGAGACTATTCTGACTTACTCGTATGATTACTCGAGCGCGTACATACATTAATTGCTTAAATGGGTGGACGAGCTGACAGCCCACCTGGTGTTAAGTGGATACTGGAGCCCATAGACATCTACAACGTAAATGCGCCACCCATCTTGAGATATAAGTTCTAAGATCTCAAGTATAGTTACAACGGTTGCCCCACCTTTCAAACCGAAACGTATTAACCACCAGTAAATTGCGTGTGCAGGAGGTGCCGCCGGTGTCGTACGCGGCGCACGTGGCGGGCGCGCTGGCCGGGCTCACCATCGGGCTGCTGGTGTTGAAGCACGCGCAGCAGCGGCTGTGGGAGCGGCTGCTGTGGTGGGCCGCGCTGGGAGCGTACGCGGCGTGCACGTTGTTCGCGGTGCTGTACAACGTGCTCGGCCCGCAGCCGGACCGTCTGCACTACATGCCGCCCGAGCCGCCCCCCGACGCCGGCTACTGACCGCACTCGTACTAAACATAACGCGATCGATATAAGAATAGGACGACGACCTCTGACATTACATCATGATTATGATTTGCAAGAGAGAATATAATAAAGCTGTGATTTCGTTTAAATAGTTTGGTTAGATGCACGAAGGTCGATGATCCTATTCTTGGTCCGATCGGATCACGGGTCCCGTCGTCGATGTCGCGTTTCGTGTGACGTCATTTTCCACAATAGAGCTATAGAGCAGGGTTGGACCCGCTCGCCGCCGACGCGACACTCACAACACGCCTAGTCAATTTACCTTAGTGTGATTCGCTGTAAGTAGTATTATATTGGGGGAGGTCGCTCGCTGCGTCGTCATTTTACACGTATCGTATTCCGCTTGTATTGTGTATTTACGTTTTCGTTTCGACCTCCTCGCAATACGTAATTGTTAAGTAGTATTAATTCGTATTTGGATAGGTGAAATATTTTTGTACCTACTGTCCGTAGTGTGTAGGATGAAGGCGTTACCGCGACAGAGCACGTTACGTACCAATGTTGACTGGCCAGTGAGAACGTACGCAGTCTCGTTACATGACCTAAAAGTCCTAGTTACCTGGTCATAAAATCCCAAAAAAAAAAATGAGTGCGACAACAGAGACTGAACGTAGTCCTTTGAGCCAGCGTAGTTATGTCCGTCACCAAAGACTAGTAATAAAACGACGTCCATAATAATTACTCGAATACCCTCATGTCTTATAATTCATATTGTTCATATGATTGAATATTTATTCTAAAGCAATGAATAAACGTATTTGCTCACATCGACATACTTTAAGTATCTAAATCTATATTTATATATATTTGTTTTTTTTTTGTTCACTGTGTATCCGTTTTATTTTTGCATAATAAAACTGATTGCTCAATTGCATTAATTTTAACCGATAACGATTTAATGCTCAAGAGAGTAGCCTTTTTATTTTATTTGAATCAATATTTTGATTATAGTGTATATATAAATAATGTGTATTCGTCCATTATCGTTACTGTTTCGCATTTTAACTGCCCTACAATAACTTCTTCATCGTTCGTTACTTGGTTTATTATTATTATTAATAATGTGCCTGATTCCTATTAATGTAAAATTAATGGTTAATAATTTAATTCTAATCAAATAATGTCACAAACGACTGATTTTTTTTTTGTATAAATTATTTCAGAGTGTTTTTCATTTAATTTATTTTAAATTTAATTTTTAAGTGTGAATCGAAATTAATTATAATTATGTGATTATATAAATGAGAATGGAGAAAATTAAAACATTGATAAAAGATTGTGGTGTTTTTAATTTTTCTAATAGTAACAATTTTGCTCAGAAAATATTAAACAACAAAACAATTAATATTCACGGATAATAAAAGATTAGCTGTATCTACTAAATAAAACAATATTATACAAAATTTACAATTGAAACAATAAAAGGTATTAGATTAGAAATTAGCTTGTGAAATTAAAGTTTTACAGAACGCAACGATGTATTGAATTCAAAAGAATTCTCGATAGAAAATAGGGGCGACGTCATAACTGACTACGGCATTACATATTCGTGAATTTGAAATTATTAGGTACGTCTCTTTGGTTTTGCTAAATCGTAAAGAAATCTACAAAGTTAATTATTATTTGACACTACAGGTGTTCTCGTATCGAACGAGTGGACTGGCTGCGATCGGTACCCGGCAACAAATTTTTCGATACGCACGTAACGCGTTTAGTGTGCTTGGTGAAAGTTTTTTAACGTTATCGATAGCGCAAAAGTTAACTCAAAGTTTGTATCAGTTGGAACAGCGCCCCTAATAGGCAATGGTTCCAACTGCATACAAAATGATACCAATTTGAGTTAACGTTTACATTAACCTTGACCCTTAATTGCACACAGCCGAAAATAATTTCATATTGAGAGTAAATAAGCCAATCAATTGATAAAAAAGCTTTATTTCATTAGCTTTTAACTAAAATTTATTTCACTTCTAACAAATTAAAAGTATGTTCTGAACAGTTTGACTGTCGCACGCACCCACTTCGGAGTTTCTCTAGATAAAAGCTCCTCTCCGCACTCTTTAGAGTAACTGTGTAGTCTCTTGGTCTCTTGCTGAAGCCTCGCCTGTACCCAAAAAAGAAAATCACTGACCAAATATATAAAAAAAAAACTAATATAAATATATTGGTAGTTTTCCAATTACAGAGCATAATGCGACTCAGTGGCGCACAATGCCGAAATATGCTGAAGCTTAATTAGAACTTGAATTAGTTTTCAAATGCATCAGCAGAGTGCGCTAAGTTAACACAGTTTTAATTAACATTGATTATTTCTAAGAAACGAAAGCCTTACAATTTTTTTCAACATTAATTACACAACATTAATTAATATTACTAACGATAATATAAACAAAATTTCGATCAATGCCAACTAAAAGAAAAAATACTTGTCAATTTTCTATCACGCGAAAGCATTACTTTTGAGAGTGCTCGATTGTGCGAAGCGTTACTGTAGTTGAAACATTCAACGTTGAGCATTATGCCGCATAATGCGCTCTTGTGCTGTAATTGGAAAACTACCACCATCCTCTCTGTTCTGCCGCTAATCATGCGATCCAGTTTTGCAGTCATTAATCAAACAAACATACGCACTTACATGCATAAATGAATACATACATACAACATAGGGTACATTGAACCAATGCAATTTAGACTTCAATCTACAGCGGGCTATTTTTATTTTATTTTTTTATCGCTTTGATGGGTGGACGAGCTCACGGCTCACCTGATAAGTGCTTACCGGAGCCCATATACATCAACAACGCAAGTGCCACCACCCATCTTAAGATATGAGTTCTTAATGTCTCACTTTGGAGGTCTCACTATGAGTTCATTCGTATGTCTGAACTAATAAAAAAACAACATACCCCCAGTTACAAAGTCCGGACACATACATATATTTAATGCAATGACAGAATAAATGTTTCTATTTTGGGTGAATCAGAATCAGTAGTCTGAGTGTTCAAGTCACGTCGGAGTCACCAGTTTGAGGGAATGCGATAAAGGGAAACTCATCCATAGAGGCTATGAAATTACTCGCTCGGTAGACCGACGGTCCGAATGTATATATATATACAAACACATCTCGAGAATGTCGTTGGCGAGATTCAGGCATCTGTCACATATCGTATGTGTTCTATAATAGTTACTACCACACTACTATGTATAGTTATGCAGAGATAATTTACCTGTAATTCAGGCGATACGGTGAAAATGGCGGCTTGCGCTTCGAGGTCGCGTTTCACTGACCGCTCCCCGAGATTCGCAGAGCCTATTACAGTCGCCCACGGCACGTCACTACCCGGCGGGTAGTACCTGGAAAACAAAACTTAATTCAGCACCTCCGACTTTAGATCACAGTGATGAAGTAACTTTCTTGATTGCCCTAGGTCAGGGGTTCCCAAACTTATTTTGCCTACTGCCCATTTTGAGAATAAATTATTTGTTAACGCCCCTAGTTTTGCACCTACTTAAAAACCACAACAGCAAGAGCTCAGTCGATGAAGAGTCTTTCAGTCCTCCTAGATGAAATTACAAATGGCCTCCCAAGCCTCTACTCAACGCCCCCTTTTTTTTGGGTCTCTTACCACCCCCCTTTAGGTCTGCAGCGCCCATAAAGGGGCGTTATCGCCCACTTTGGGAAATGCTGCCCTAGGTGAACACACATACTGGTCAGGAGCCCATAGTTATAAATGCCACTACCCAATGTCGATAAGCCGAGTGGTAAGGTAAAATAGATTATTGAAGAGGAGAACTTAAAATATTCGTTATTTTACAATACACTAGCTATCTTATAGCACAGTAATTTACTTTAGACATGGTTTTGGTAACGGTACAATGACCTAAATATAAATTGGCAATGACAAAAGAGATAAGTACCATTTTGACCTTTGTTTGACAATCGAATTCATTTTGTTCAAATGAATCTACCTTGAGTCATCATTGATTAAGGTCGAATTTCGATTATCGAGCGAGCTCTTATTAATAAAAAAAAGCAGTATAATAACACCTTAAAAGATTTAACCAACCATAAGCCTTTCGCGTGAAACGTCCACCCAGGACGTTCATATTCTAACATCCTTATTCGACTTGCTTGATTCGAATCAACAACCCTTTGCCAAAATCTGAAAATATAAAACACACGTATTTATTGACAGTTTCTATAGTTTAATTTGTGTTCAGTAAAATAGGCAAAAGCTTTATTTAATAAGTTCTAGTTTGTATAAAAATGTAGAAAAACTTAAGTTATATACTTTAGTGTACCTACTGTTTAGCTATTAACGAATATGCAAATGGTATTCCTCCTGCTGGTCCCGCAGCTCCCAGAAAGCCGTTAGCCTGGAAATAGACAAATTTACAGTATAGATTAAATAACAGTGGTAATATCAGCCTTTTAACATTCTCGGCCTAATATGTGAAATGTATTCATAGCATTATAATTATGCTGGGGCTTGATTATCTGGGGAGTAATAATTTTAGTAATGATGATACCTGATGATTTATTAAAAGCCTTAATCAATACAAATATGTACATCAGAAATAATACTCATAATAATAATAATAATTGATAATACTATAATACAATAATAATAATACACATAAAACAATCTTATATTTTTACTCACATTTGGATGTGCCATTAACAGGCTTACATTTGCTTTACATTGATCGAGAAGCGTCCGCGTATATTGCTCTGTGAGATTAAAATATCCAGTTGCAAGTTGTAGGTGAGAGCCTTTTGGCGCGGACACCATCAACTTTCTAGTAACATATTCATCTTGTGTTATGTTGAACTCTCCCATTTGTATGAGTGGGAACACCCAAGTGTCCAAACTTGAATCTGTTCATTTTAGACAAAAATATTAACAGTATGCTCATTATTAGCAATTATTATCTTATATATTACAATATAAGATTTACGTAACTTATTAATTTAGTCAATCAAAATCTAATTTCTGCCAGAGCAAATACAGATGATGAAAGAATGATAAGATGAAGAAGTTAACAATCTAATTATTATTATTTTTAAATCTATCCATTAATTGTTATATGTTGTATATTGCAATACTTGTTAAAATAATTTCATAATTAAATCATTTTAGTAAATAAATAAAAGACCTCCACTTGTAGACAATTTTGAGAGCTGCAACTGCTGCCACTTGTATATGACATTACAAATATTATTCTTCATATCTTGAATCATTTTCTCTTTTGTCAATTTCTTATCACTAACAATATCTTGATTCTCATATCTTTTGCTGTATTTGCTCACCTCATCTGGAATTAAAACACAATAATAGGACACTAGTTAAATTCCTTGCAAGTATGCATGAAATTTGAGATCACTTATTTCAAAATATATTTTTTTAATGAAAATGAAATCACACTTCTACAAAATAAAAAGAGAATACGATCAATTTTGTTGGAGTCATTTAAGTATGCATTAAGTTGCATGTTAAGGTAAATTCAAAAACTACTGATTAGATCCTGATAGAATTGATATCACTTAAGAAGTAACAGCTTTCAAATAAAAAGGATCATCAAAATTATTTTTGCTACAATATTTATTTGAGATAACATACATCAACTACTTTTCTGAAATAAATGCAAAATAAAAGTATATATTGCTGTGTGAAAATTAATATATTCTTTATTTCTAGCTAAAGCTATTGTCTTTCTTTTCCGCCCATTTTTAATATTATTTATTTAGCATTTAATAGGAAATGTTGGTAGCATTATTTCTACATAGTCTACTACAGTTTACCTTGAGTCATGTACCCTAATATTCTGTAACATCTATTAATTTATATAAGTATCTCACTTTGCCATATTTAAGTATCTATTATTATAATTTTTTTCAAAAACAAATGGCAAATAACTCCCTTAAGATTCTCAATTGTAACTGTCACAAGAAAGTGAAACAAACAGAAAATCTACATTATTTTCTTGCCAGAAGAAACATTTCATAATGACAATGCTAACCTAAAAAAAAAACAAAAAACAAAACAAATAACTTACAGTTCTCATACCTATAATGTCTCTATAGAAGTTGGCAAGATCAGGATCATCTATTTCTATATAGCGGTCTTGTCTCTGCATGAAGTAGTCATTTGAACAATTTGCACCGCTCAGTAAAACTCTGTCATCAACTATGTATAGTTTCATATGTTGTAATCCTACAATTTCATTATATCTTGATGGCAGAACTTTGGACCATAATCCCTGAAGCCTTGGAGTTTGGTATAAATACAGTTTACATTGTTCAGACAAATCAAGGAAATATTTCTGAAATAAAGTTACTGAGTTTTGGTTACCACGAGTTCCTCTTTGATAATCTAATAGTAGGCTTAAAGTTAAAGTTTTTCTATTTATTAAGTTTTCTTTTGCACTCTCAAGAAGATTATTTTCTAAGTTCCCATTTCCAACATATAGACTGGCTACTGATATTCTGTTTTTAGCATTTCCAAACCTATCGCATAAGGTGTCGTAGAACTTCTTAGGNAAAGTTACTGAGTTTTGGTTACCACGAGTTCCTCTTTGATAATCTAATAGTAGGCTTAAAGTTAAAGTTTTTCTATTTATTAAGTTTTCTTTTGCACTCTCAAGAAGATTATTTTCTAAGTTCCCATTTCCAACATATAGACTGGCTACTGATATTCTGTTTTTAGCATTTCCAAACCTATCGCATAAGGTGTCGTAGAACTTCTTAGGGTCTTCAGAAATTGATACTTTGGTAGCACTCACAGGAAAACAAGGTGCAGCACTGTATAACCAACTAAAACTCTGAAACTCTCCTACTTTGAATCGTATTGGAACATTCATTATCATGATTTGTTTTAATAATATCACAATTCACAGCAAATTCGTACGTTTCAGGAGTTTGATACTTCCATGGAAATGCACTTGCATTTTATTTTGCAGTAGTTTGTGAACAGTGAAAGATAAAAATTTATCGTTATTTTTTTTTCTGTATCTGAATAGTGCATAAGTAATCTATAGAAATTGTTAAATTTAATCCTTGACAACGCTTCCTCTTTCAACTAATAGCAAATCTAGTGTGATCACTGTGATTAGTATCAGTGATGTGAATTGTGAATTAAGTGATTGTCAAGTGATGTCCCTCTCAAAAGTCGCAAATAATGGCAAAATTGGCAAATCTTAAGTTTTTTTTAATGGGATTTTATGACCTGGTAACTAAGACCTTTAAGTCATGTCTTATTTTAGTATATTTTAAAGTACTATTAGTACTCCATAGCCATAGATAATACACTTCAATATTCTATTTCTAAGTTAACTTTGCAATGGCACGTACAATACCTACCTACTATGGAGGGTAGGTACCTCTACCCTCCATGTAGGTACGGTACCCACTGAAGTAATATAGGTCTATGACGGTACCTACCTACCTACCTAATGTCAATTTTGTGGTCTGTCGTGTCAATGTCAAAAATGCTATTTTTATTTTAGTCGTCCATTCGACAACCAAAGGAGAGACCGCCTATTCAGCTTGATCTTTTCTAACAGTAAATTGATTCTTAGTGAAATTAGATTGATGACATGAAATAATCTCTAATTGAAATGGAGAGAATTTACCAAGATTTCAATATTTTTTTTAGAAAAGCAGAGATGCTTCGTCTAGCGCATTTTAATTCGTTTCCACACACTTGTGCACTTTCAATGATACCAATAACATGTATTCCATTAATTAAACAATGTATTTAACCTTACATCATACGTTACCACCAAAAAGTTTGCCAAAACTTCAAAAGGAAACTTTTTTATACTTAATTTTTTTTAGGTATTTTATGACCTTGTAACTGAGACCTTTAAGTCATGTCTTATTTTTATTTTTAATCTTATTTTTATGAAAAATTATAATATGGAGTGAAATAAAATAAAATGTTTAATTTGAGACATTAATCAACAGGGATGAAATTAAATGAAATGAGATGAGATGAAATGATATGGGATGAAATTTAATCTTAGTAAAATGGTGGTCATTTACTGAGATTTTTCAGTGAACTTTTTGGAGGATCCCGAGAAGTTACGTCCAACGGCTTTGTTTCATTTTCCCACATTTGTGCACTTTCACAGATATTAAACAGTTAATAAACCACCATTATTACACATTTAAACCTGAAGCAACACTAAATAGACAAAATAAAACAAATCCCACAACTTAACTCCTCACGTCCCCGCCAAAAAGCCCTTTTATATTTAACAGGTGAAGAAACATGACTACCTGTTTTATTTTATTATTGTGCATCTCACAGTTATTATTTAAATCATCAGTACCCAAAATCTCCCACCATTGTGGCTTATTTCCAATGTGTATCCTAACCGCGGCAGTACCAGCGCATTCGAGTCCAGTGAATCAATTCAGAGTATAGGTCGAGTCGCACTCGCAAGTACTTTTAAACTATATTTCCACTGAATTGTCATGGTTTCTAACAGTCTAAGATCCAACAAGATTTTTTTTGCCCACGGGCTATGTTCATGGGCACTAGACCATTGGGGTGAGTCGAATAATAATAAAATCATAAAGCTTATTATGTACCTAATTTATTTAATGAACTGAATAACTATATATATAACTATTAACAAAAACAAAACTTTTTAAGAACTTAGAATTTAAAGAATTAAAGTAGATAGGTATTTGTTAATGTAGGTATATCAAAGACACGTTTAGGTTTCTTGTTACAGCTGTTATCTTAAAGTGGTTCTTCAAGTGTTTGATCGTGTTCTATTCCGTAGTAGACCTTATCGTTCTTCACATAAGCCCAAGCCATTCTTTTAGAACTGAAGTGGATCCCTACGTCACCGTTTTTTGATAATGTTATTGCGCCAGCAGTGTTGTTCAAGCGTGCTGTCATACCTAAAACACATTATGAGCTATGTATATTATCCATGCGTAAAACGAAAGTAAACGAATTATAGGTATATTTAATTATTATATGGGTACATGACAAAACAATCACTAAGTACATTCATTATGAGTGAATGTAATAAATTTGACAGCGAAAAGTCTATGATGATACATGCAAATGTGGCGATTGTTGAAAATACAAAAATAAACTACAAAAACGTTAATTTTTTATTTATGGTTTGTTAGATATTTATCTACAGAATATATGCATACATTATAAAAAGACGAGACATTTTTAATATGAAAATGAATTCGTTAAATTACCAATTACAGCTTGCCTAGTAGCCGTATCTGCATCGAGGCCGCCTTCCATAAGTTTGATAATAGTATGAGCCAAACAATACTTCAAAATTGATTCACCGTGACCTAGAAAAAATCTTAAAAATTCATAACTTCTCAACAAGAACAATCAGACCTGGCCAAGCGACAATCCACGTACAAAACTCGATAAATACGTTAAATGGAAAAACTTCTCTTTTTAAGGCGAAAAATATAACAATTGCTTCTAGAGCCATCAACAATTTAGATCTGACCTAAATCTGAAGTGTTGTACTACAGTACATTTCAACACTGTAATTTCTAGCTACAGTTTAATATCGTAGTGGCATCTTTACATTCTGCAATATTTGGGCAAAAGCGAAATCCGGCTAAAAATCTTGTCAGAAAAAAAAAGGTATTTAAAATTCAAGTTCGTTCTGTTTACATTAATCATAACATAGTTTTTATTGTTTAGGTACCATTTTTCATTTTTCCTTTCTAAAAGCTGACAGAATAGGTACCAAATATCATAAAGGTTACTGTGTCCGATCGAGAATGAAACTTGCTTCCCCAGAACTTCGGGTAAAATGAAGAAAAGTAGTTATGCGATTTCGCATTTTATTTATTCAAACAAGAATGCAGTATTGCCCTTTGGCAGAGATGAGTACACCAGTTACATATTTTGTTAATATACAGAGACTAAAGAGATTTATTATAATTTTTTTTTAGTTATTTCGCATTTGTGTAGTTCTAAATACTCTATGCTTACATTCGTTTTTATTTATCAGATGTGTATAAAAATATATTTAACACGAGCTCACGAGCTGAGTCTCGCGATGTAACCCGCGGTTATTGTCGTACCGCGGGTGACGCCGCGGGGCGAAGCTAGTCCAAAAAAAGTTATTTTGGTGTATGTACCTTATATATATATTATATTAATATGCATGTAGTAAAAAGCGGTTATTTCAATACTACAAACAGAAACTAATTTTATTTATTTGTATACCTAGATGATATTTTAATTTAAAAATAATACTTTACGATTTATATTTATCTTCATAGTACATACATATACATAAGATTTATTCGATCAAAACGTGTATTTTCATGTCAATAACGCAAACAATTCAACTTAACAAGAGATATGTCAAAGATTAGTGTGAACTAGACGTGGCACGTGGTTTCACACTCATTTAATTTGTACTCAATTAGAAAGAATCAATCACGTACCTATTTTACCGGGATAAAAAATTACACGTATATATCCATGAACTACCAGTCGATTCGAATGTTTGCGCATAAAAATACGAACTATATAGTGTACAAATGGCCAATAGAACCGATGTTAGCCGCATAATTTCTTACCACATTAAAAAGTATCAAATGTGTGAATCCAGAATCCATAAACTATCTTAGTGCGGAATTTCATTTAAATCCGTTCAATCATTTCGGTGTGATTGAGTCCATAATAATAATAGAACCGTTTTTTAAGTTAAATAAATAATTATTTACTACATAATTATTTTATATAACTATACTTATTATATAAATACTCATAGGTATATAAAAACAGAAATGTACCTACCTGTTGTTGAAATCCCACCAACATTGTCATCAGCATAAGTACCACCACCAATTAGTGGCGTGTCTCCAATACGTCCGACCATTTTTCCATTTATACCACCAGTACTTGTAGCAACAGCTATATGGCCATCAGCGTCTATAGCTACCGCACCGACTGTTCCAACACCACCCTGTTCAAGAAGTACAAAGATGAGTCCTCAAAATGTCATCTGGCCATCCTGACCACATCTTTAAAAAGATCAGGTACAGTACCTAGTATTAACGTTTCTTTTATAATAAAAATACAAAAGTCGCAACATAATATCAGATATCACTGCCTAATTTAAAAAAATACACACGCTTCTCTTATTGGTTAATGTTTATCCAGTAATTTTTACTGGTGGTAGGACCTCTTGTGAGTCCGCGGGGGTGGGTACCACCGCCCTGCCTATTTCTGCCGTGAAGCAGTAATGCGTTTCGGTTTGAAGGGTGGGGCAGCCGTTGTAACTATACTGAGATCTTAGAACTTGTATCTCAAGGTGGGTGGCGCATTTACGTTGTGGATGTCTATGGGCTCCAGTAACCACTTAACTCCAGGTGGGCTGTGAGCTGGTCCACCCATCTAAGCAATAGAAAAAATATATACTCGAATCACTGCCAAATCAAACTATTATATTTATTGGGGTTTAGGCGTCTTGTAAGCGTGCAAGAGTAGGGACCACCACTCTGTCAAATTTTTTCATGAAGCAATTATACGTTTTCATATGAGTGGTGTGGCAGCTGTTGTATTATGAAACTAAGATTTAAAGTCATGTCTCAAGATTTGAGTTTTTGATATCTATGAGCTGTGGCGATCACTTCACACCAAGTGGGCCGTGAGCTCGTCTACCTAAGCAATGAATAAAACACGTACACTAATCTCAATACTGAAATGGGTTGAATAGGTATCATGTCAATCAATTGTGGATTACACGATTTTTTTTACGATATGATATTGAACTAATTTTATCCAACACTTCAGTGTAAGTACTTCTGTGTGCTTATTGCGAGTTTTTAACGTTCTCGATAGCGTAAAAGTTAACTCAATTTTGTATGAAGTTGGAACGTTTGCCTACATTTACCGCTAGGAGCGCTGTTCCAACTGCATACAAATTTGAGTTAACTTTTACGTTATCGAGAACGTCAAAATACTCGCACTAAGCACACTGAGACAATAAATGTCACCATCAGATACTTGCCTCATCTTTCTTTCCAATTTCTGTTCGCTGGTCATCGCCTTTGTTCAAGAAATCGTTAAGTGCCTCTTTAGCGCTTTCGCTTATCAATGACTCTGGTGGTACTTGTTGGAAACCCTGTAATATAAACGTTATAACTAGTTCAGCAATTCCGTCCAGTAACTAAGTACACTCGTGTACAATAATTTTACTGTATAGGCACTAAAATAGTCACATTTAATTTAAGTATGAACAGTATTTTTGGTGAATAATGAAAACCATTCTCAGTTCACTTAATTCGCAATTTTATTATACTCGATCATTTGCTTTTGCGTTATACTTCTTACTGAAAGTTAACTCCAAATTAATAGTTTGTAATTATTAAACATTTTTATGTTACAATTAACGTATTTAAGTAATTAACCTGATTTGTGTGTATGTGTGATAACCTCGACAAAGACACATGAACTGATCTGAATGTGATTTTCCATGAGTTAAACTTAAGTTTTTTATTTAAATAAGAAATATCGAGATCAAATCGAAAGAAATAAGCGTTTTCGAAAAACCAATTACTTTTTCTAGTGCAAACAGCTTAGCTCCGTTTCCTCCTAAGAAGGAATGCGGCGTATCTGTCAAAACTTTACGGGCTATACTTATGGGGTGCTGGAACTCTTTAATTAGCGTAACGGCCCCAGAATTAAGATCTTGACCCCACATTATACTAGCTTCCATTTCTACTTCGCCATTTAAGTTTAATACAGATCCATATCCTGTGAACATATAAAATAAAAGAATACAATAAAATCATTAATGTCAATTTTTAATTTAATTTTCGATTTCAGATTAGATTCATAAAATAATATTTTTCGTATTTTGACTACGTAACCGACTCACACTTACAAATCTTACAATTTAGTATTGTTGATTTTATTTTTATTTACTGTTTATAAAGCTCTTCCCCTACGCCTCTAAGGACTAGATAAGTTGCTTCGAACCAATGTCTGAAGAATCGTGGTGACATTAATCCTAACATCTATAGGTACTGTTGAAATTTCAAAAAAAACGTTACGAAAAATATCAATAAGACCGAAGCATTACTTCCTGTAGTTGATTTTGTGAAAGTAACGCTTTAAAGGTACCTACTTATTTTTTTCTTTTCGTTTCTAGTTATAAAACATTATCCACTAATCGTTTGACCCAAAGCTTTGGATTGTTGTTATTATTTATTAGTACATGAAATAGTCAAAACTCTTATTAGTAACCGACCTGCATTAAAATTTTCATCCAATTCCATAGAGACAACAGCAGCTTCAACTGAATCTAAAGCATTGCCACCATTCATCAACTTTTCATAGCCAGCCCTGACTGCGACTTTAACTCCATCAAACTTTCCTTGAATACGACTCTCAGAAATATCACCAGCCCCTCCATGCACGATGATAATTGGCTTCATTGCTCCACTCTCAATGACTAATGCAAATAAAACACATATTGAAATGAATATGATTTGTTTTAACATTTTTATAGTCAAATGCTCAGACACAACGACAGAACGAGATAATATTGCTGAGTGATACGCGCGGAGAAAGTAGCACACGAGCTGTTATCGATAGTAAACCTCTTTTTTATTGGTAGGCGTTTATATGATCATATCACAGTGTGTATTCTCGATCTCGTTTGGATTGTGATTATTTCAAACAAACACATGCTAGCTCTCACAATCCCGCCGCCGTCGAGCGGGGACCAGGGAGGCGGATCTCGCCCAAGCCCTGGCCCTCTAAGTGTTTCGGGTCCCCCTCACATGTCGGTCCGGGGACCGGCGAGGGGGGCCTAAGAAGATGACGTGCAAGCTGCTCTGCACGCGTTTTACGCAAGAGCATCCGAGTGATGGAAGGCCGGCTATCCTCGACCCACGCTGGTTCTGATCCAGCGGGGTATTCCGTAGGGTCACCCACTCTAACCGGCGCCATCTAGGCGGGCTTTGGACAGTTTGCCGACCGAGAGGGCTGGTGGCCGTGGCGTCGACGACCGCCGGTACGGCGTCCCGAGGGGGAGGGTGATGGGAGAGATATGCTCCGCACTAAACGCTTCACTTTCCCCCCTTTGCCTTTTCATGAGTTCTGTCTCATGCGAAGTTTGGACGTTGGTTGTTGAGCGACAGGAGGTTTTAGTCAGTTCGACTCTGACATACCCCGCCCAGTATCCACAGAGAAGGGCGGAAGTCCTAAAAAAAAAAAACTAATAAGCAAGTTCTCATCACAATTTCAGATTGAAAACTACACCCAAATTGGTTGTCCCAGTACGAAAATCAATTTATAGTCCACGCGAGAAACTAAGCCAATACCTAAAACGTGTTAAGTGTAACATACCTTTGCAGAACCCTGAGGTTTAGGACAAACTAAGATACACATACCGGTCCGAGTTAAGGAGTTCATTGAGGACGTCAAGAATAACCGAGTACACAAGCCTGTCAACATCCTCTAAATAGTGGTGCTAACCATCATACAAGATTTGATAAAATCTAAATGCGTACTAGAAAAAAACAATTAATTCCACGTATGGTGCGCGAAACCAATTTAAATGGCTGAACTTCAATAGAGAAGATGGTTGACACTTACAGGGGTTAGCCCCTGGGATTCTCTTATCGTGAAGATAAAAATCCAAGTCTAACAGACTGCCGTAACCTAACATAACCTTAGTTCGTTATATGTTAAATGAAGCTTAAAAGTCTATTATTTCATAATTTTAATACAAAAATGAGACGGTAGCAAAATAATCAAATGTCGAGGAATAACACCTTAGTCGTCCATGACCACGAAACTTTAAAGTATTTGAAACGTCGCAAATAATATACAATATACTTAGTATATAATGAAAAGACCGGAATATTAAACCGTAACAGTAATTTTAATTTATTTGTGTTTTTATTGTTATTTTAGGACGTTATGATCACAATGACACATATGGAAATATGTATATACAGATTATGATTATTGAATAACCGCAGCGACTTTTTTACTGAAGTAAGTATCTAATGGTTTTATTTTACTACATCAACGAAAAAAGATTGAGTAGTGCTGTTCTAGACTGACATCCATTTGACGAGATTACGAATATCGTCAAAAACTTAAACAATCTAAATGAACATCCATCCACAGCTACTTAATAAGAAATTTGATACTTTACAAGCCTCATTTCAAGATGGATATATTATTTATTAAATATCATGGATAAGACTTTTTATTGAATTAAATTAAATGCCTATATATGTCCATTTAGGGATTTAATCTCTTTCGTCCAACTAGAGCACAAAATAAACATTCAGTCCTGTTATTGATATAATAATTTTTTATTTACTATTTTAAATTCACTGCACCCAATTTAATAATTCTAACACTTTTCACCTCAAGATAAAAGCTATATAATATATTTTATCGTAAATTAATACAAATAAACAACAAGAACGATGATTATGGGTGTCTATTTTATGTACATAAATATGTATCCAGTAGTGTACGAAAAAGTATGACTTTGGCCCCCAGTGACGTCACACATAGGTTGGTTCTGTAGTTTTGTAAAGTTTGCGTGGAAGTTTTGAAAAATACCTAAGTGATATCCGTCGTTAATGCAATCTTAACAATATTGCAGTAATACTTTCAAATGATTGCTTTACAAAGTATATAATTATGATTAATATTTAACAAAAAAAATACAATATTATACACGAGAACAGATGTAGCTTCGTTTATGGATTTCACTATAGAGAATTTTATTTGCAAAGTCGGTTTATTCTTTAACTACGACTTTCCAAAATTTCAAAATCCAATGAAAACACATAAAAGGACCGCAACCCTTTTCTTGCCGATTTCGATTAAGATAGCTTTAAATAAAAATTTAAAGGACAATCTTGATGCAATTAATCGTTTTCGTAATAAAGCATCTTTTGTTCAGTTACCTAGATTTGCAACACTAAAATAATATTTATCCAAATACTTCGTATCACGTAACAACATACTATTATTTACCTACAATGTTTTTTGTACCTACTATCAACAGTTTTCCTTAATAATCGCATTGTAAATATTGAACGCAGTTTCTAAAAGCACGTAATATCTAGACACAATGCAATTCGTATAGTAGAAACTATTGTGTAGTTGGAGTGTGCATAACATGACCATATATTTTTGTGTCAAAGAGGGACATCTGCGGAATTATTTAGTGATAAAAAGTATTTAATGTTTTACAAGTATTTTCATATAGAAGATGAATAATAAAAAAAGAATCAAAGCATTAAACACAACATCGTTAGTACTCTGTAATAGTCTGTACCTCTTTTATTAAATTAGCTCATTTAAACACTTCTATGTTCTATGCTCTATGTTGAATTGAAAAATAAATTTATCGTTTGGTCTGTTTGCAAAAGCGGAACTATGTCGGCCTCACTGGGGATAGCGGGACAGAATGCCCGAAAGCGGGACTGTCCGCCAAAATCGGGACGTATGGTCACATTAAGTATGCAGTAAGTTAAAATTGAATGTGAGTCATTGAGGGCATACAAACGTAAATGCTAAACGCCATTAAAAGAAATGCTTAAATTATTCTATTTATAAATATAAGATGAAAGCATCAGTTAAAAAAGAAGTTAATAAAATATATCTGATACCTATTTAATTATTCTTACGTAACTTTTATATTTGAATATATTTTATTCAACAGTTCTAAATTATTATAATCGGTACGTTTCCTATGACGTTTTGAGTGACGCTATCGTCTATTTATTCTGTGCTATCATATTTCTGTGCTACTTAATGTGAAAATTAAATAATATTAGGCTTTATGTCACATCTTGATCATTATTTTATATTGATTTTGTACGTACGGTATGCAATATTGTTTTTAGATATTATTATTAAATCAATCTTCTAAATATAATCCTTATAAAACCTACAAAAAATTATAATAAAAAACGTTAGGTACCTTCGAGGGTCTTAGGTATCATACTTCAGTGAGTTCAGTGGTCTCAGTCCAATAGTAGTGTCATACTCTTATGGCAGCGTTCGAAAACAATCATTAAAATAATATTTCGATGATTTATTGAATTTGAAACTATTTGTAAAGTGTGTAAGCCGACGAACGTAAAGCAAAACTACATTTATTTAAATGATGTTAGAGGCACATATTATGTTAATTAATGTTTACACAATACCTATTGCTGCAAGTGGAATAACGGCTTAGTTATGCAAGCAGACAAACAACAAATAAATAATCAAGCAGACAAATTCTTCTACAGTGAAGTTATCGCTTCAAACTTTATGTTGAGTTGAAAGGCATTCTATTTTACATTTAAGAAGAAACGTCACTATGATATTTTTATCTATCTTCATATCAATAGCCGTAACCCCTAAATAGACTATTTTGTACTCAATTTTAAATTGTGTAGCCTTGCCGTGTAGGTATGCTATTCGTTTACATTTTGTCAGTGAAACCATTTATTAAAGTGGTCATTTGATACTTTTTTTTTACTTGTAGGCAGACGAGCATACGGCTCACCTTATGGGGAGTGGTTACTGACGCCCATGGACTTCAGTAATGCTAGAGGCAGAGCCAAGCCGCTGCCTACCGCTTAATACTCTCCACAAGCCTCGTTCGAAGAAGGACATCTCATAGCGCCCGGGAAACACCGCTTATTCCATAGCCGGATGGTACGTGGCAAAAAAGACCTCTGGAAACGCATTGTCCATGAACGCAGCGGTTCCAGATAATGTGGATGAACTCTGCTCCGATTGCGGGAGGTGCGATGATAAAAAGGAGATGAGGGATCATCACAAAAAATTCCTCAGTGTGCTTAGTGCGAGTTTTTTAACGTTCTCGGTAGCGTAAAAGCTAGCTCATATTTGTATGGAATGAGATCGTTTACGTACATTTGCCGCTAGGGGCTCTGTTCCAACTGCATACAAAATTGACTTAACTTTTACACTATCGAGAACGTTAAGAAACTCGCACTAAGCACACACAGCACTCCCCATGGAACATACGGTACAAAATACAGAGGGAACCGAAGTCCCTCCGCAGACCCAGAGGTTCCAAACGATCTGTTAGAATGGGACTATCGACAATCCGAACGGCCCTCTTCTGTATGGGGTCAAATGGAAGAAGCTGGTATTTGGGAGCCCTGGCCCAGAAATAGGAGCAGTACTCCATGCAAGGCTGGACTCGTGCTTTATAAAACAACCCCAAGTATCCCGATACTCTCGGAAGGTTACAGGGATACTCCACGCGAGTATCGAATTGAACAACTGCTCCTAAAATATTTCATATTATAATTCAAAAACCCTTTTTCCATAAATGGGCAGACGAACTCACTACACACTTCGTATTGGGGAGGTAAGGTAAATACGCAAATTTATTAGTAATAGTGTGATTTTATTACACATACTTCACCGTATAAGCTGTTTCTGAAATCGTGTGGGTAATGTATTGACATTGACTTGATCATTCGTTATGAGTATTTTGGGCCACGATAATTTCAGATCGCCGGGCATCCGAAATTTTGCATTGAGACCCTGAATGCTGATTTTTTTAAAATAAATACAATGCCAAACCTAATGTCGAACCCAGACTTCGTGGTACTATAGTCAGCATCACTAAACACTGAACTAACTAGGCGGTCAAACTTTAAATAATCTTTTTGTATGCTTAGTGCGAATTAGTGCACACTAAGCACACTGTATAATAGGTTAGATACCTATAGGTAGAAAACATTAATAACATTATGCTCACGTTAAAATTGTATTGTTTTCCAATAAAATTGTTTTCTCCCTCGTAGAGATGAATTTTATTAATAAACAATCGCATAGCTTGTCCATCCATAGTATGAAAGAGGAAATTCCTGAAGCATAGACAATTATCAAATAGTAAAAGTAGGCTATAAAGTCTTGTGACTATTGGCCGGGGAAAAAATTGATGAGAAAAATGGCGAACCGAAGTTTAGAAGTTAATTATTTTGTGTAAAATGTTTTTTTAAATCGAACTTAATTTGTTATTTTATAATAAAATGTCGACGCCCATGTCAAATCGTAAATATGGAGCCCAAAAAATTAGGCTAACTAGTGAGTAGCCAATAACGAAACACTCGTTTCGTGGACTTCGTATGATCGTATTTAAGTTTTAATGACACATTCTATACATATTACTTATTTGATTGTTTTGTTTTAGTTATATGTGCAAGGAATTTGGTCCGAAAAGATCTCTTTCGTAAGTAAAGCCAACTTCGATTTACGCATATTATTACTATTCAAGGTGAAACGAAATTTATGGCATGCTAACATACAATTTTTCTTTTCATGACCATGATAGTACCTAATTGTGGTGTGTAGTATATATCCTGTCCTTGTAGGTTTGCCAGATCCTTTTGCCAAAATATCAGTCGACGGCAGTGGCCAAGTATATTCAACAAATACAGTGAAAGCAACACTTGATCCAAAATGGAATACACATTATGATCTTTATTTAAGCAAAGGAGATGGAATTACCATAAGGTTGGTATTGATAGAAATATTCAATAAATTGATTATTATGATGTTTTATCAATTAATTAAATAATATATTATATAAATTTTATAAGCACTCCAAACTTATGAAAGTTTGTTGAATGTAAGCACTCACTAATATTATCATAGTAAAATCAATAACAACATGGTGTTCCTATTTTTCATTAAATAACTTTATCACGAACATTCAAACCAATTAAGAATGTAAGCATTATGTCGTTTTAACTTTTATCTTATCCTTTAATTATTTATGTTACCATTCGCCATCAGTTCGGCTATATGCTCATATACTTAATAAGGCATTGAAATAGCATAGTATAAACTGAAAATAAAAACAATAGATCTAAAGCAAAAAACTTATTAATTAAAAAAATTTAGTTCTTCAAAATCTTAATGGACGGATTTTAGCAAAATTATACATTCATTGAGTTTTAAGTTGTTATTACAATTACAAAAATGATTACAGTGTATGGAACCAACGCAAAGTCCACAAAAGGCAAGGGTCTGGTTTTTTAGGATGTGTTCGTATACAACCATCAACTGTACATAAGCTAAAAGATACAGGATGTAAGTACCTTACGATTGATTAGACTTAACACTTTATTTCTGAATATAAATGTGGTAGAGAAGATGATGAATGTTTCCGCTATTTTACAAAAAAAAAGTAGAATAATTTTAAAGATTTATACTTAATTTGAAATTTAAAAAAATCATAAACATTGCCAACATTCTTCATTCAGTGTGGAATCTTTAAAGTTATGAATAGTATTTTTAAAATCATCAGCAACTCCATAAATATGATAACCTATTTTGATTATATTGTTTGTTTTATTTCATATAAGAAGTTGAATTATCTTGAACATTGTATTTGATAAGTTTATCTCTGCAAATCTCTAAGATTTAGGATATTATAAATAAAAAAGATGTCCTTCATCATGAATAATTTAAACTGATATTTTATATTTCATTATTGCAAAAAGAAGTGCAATGACATAAAAATTGTGTCATTCCTTATTTTATCATATCGACGCTTGAAAGGCAAAAGTGACTAAGCGACAATGCGTAAACTTTACAGTAGACTAATTTAAAATTGAAATACCTGAAAACAAAATTTATTTTAACGAATCTAGCTGCAGTAGAATCTAGCTAGTAGCTGTAGGATTGAAATGATTTTAATAGACCTAGAAATATTATTTTTTTGCGCATCGAATACGGTTATTGTCTATCATTTATGTACAAAGCAGTTATTGGCGCTTAGTCACGTTTGCCTTTCAAGCGTCGATATGGTATTTTTAAATATTTTAAACATTTTATTTTATAGCCATTGTGGCCTAAAATGCTTTTTAAGATAACGTAATTTTACTGGTATTTCGTGAGCCTGCATAAGATGGATACCACAACCTTGCCTATTTCTACTGGAAAACATTAATGGCGCCCTGGTTTGAAAAGTACAGCCATAGTTTACAACAAATATTTAAATCTAATGTTTCAATTTGGATTACGCTATTTATATAGTTAAGTCTATGTGGTCCAGTGACTACTTAACACAAGATAGGCCATGAGATTGTATATTATGTAATAAATAAAGTTGTTATCTAGAGATAGAGTAGACCCTGACACATAATTTTTTGTGATAGGGCAATTAATCCTTCAAAAGTTTGCACTAGAATGCCTCATATATCTTCAGTTGACACACTTTTTTATTTAAGAATGATACATATAGGTATGCACAGTATTATTTTTTTCCTCCACATATGACACATAATTAGGTAATCAAATTAAAGAAACTGGTTTGATGTGTGAAACAAACTTGTTTTCTCACATAAGTATAATATCTACCTATACTACAGCTTAAGAAGATGAATGACATCAAAAAGAAAAATGTTATGAAACTAATGAGACAATTTCCCTCCAAAAGTAAAAGTTGTAATGCTGTTCAGTAACAGATACACACTTTTTAATAATACCTAATTTTTGTCTTTGACCTACTTGAATGTGAGTGATGCCTAAATGCAACTTATACTCTCGTATACAAAATATAGCCAGGGATTTTGGCTGCCTACCACTAGCAGTACAATCCAAACTTTGATTAATATGTTAAATTACCAGCTTAATCTCACATGTTGTGTAACATGACAGTTCAGTGTGTGTGTGTGTGTGTGTGTGTGGGTTGTGGTTCAGTGCAGTAGATGTGTGCATATGAATATTAAAATATACAGATACACCTGTACCTGATACATTTTTTTTGTGAAAAGAATACTATCATGGTTGCATGGTGGCAGGGACAGAGTCTGCTCTCGTGGCAGATGTAATGATATGTTTTTAAAGAATAAAAGTAAGTAAATAGTCATGTTAACATTAAAATAATAAACTCATGAAAAATATTACAGACCAATGTCTAGAACTCTGTGAAGATGGACAGTCTGGTGAGACGTGTGGAGTCAAAGGCCAGGTCATCATTTCTCTTATGTCAAGAGATAGTGCCCGTGGGGAGCCCGCCTCTGCAGCCGGCGAGGGTTCTCCATTGGCAGTTGTTGGTCCTGCAGGAGAAGTTCGACCTCCTAGAGAACCAGTAGTCAGTCCAAACCCCTCTCAGCTGAGTTTACCACCTCATTGGGAGGAGAGATTCACTTCTAGTGGAAGGTGTGTTATCATTATTGGATTGAAAGTAATGAAATTTTTATATACAACTGAAATATAAAAATAGTGAGGTGTGGAACTTACTGTTTGAAGGGAATGCAGGCTGTCTTGTAACCTTAGTAAGTTCTGATACATATGTATGCTCAGTAAATTGTATACTATGGATTGTTTACGTTGAGAAGCTTATTGCAAAGTTACCTTCAGTATAAAAAAAACAACAAACTCAGGGTTTGTTCTTTCCAATAGATTATAAATTATGAAAGCTGCATAAATATGAGTTTGATTAGGTAGGAAGAGACATGTCTGCTTTACTGAGCATTGACTAAGGATCTGTCCATCTGTACTGGTGCTGTGTGGAGGATGCATATTTTTGAAGCCTGTGTGGCTGTTTAAACATCCCTTTGCAACAAATGTAATCTATTTTTATTGTGCAGTTCTCTTACAGTTTTCCTCAACCGCTTTCATGATAATTATTTAATTTCAGGCCTTACTTTGTAAATCATTCGACACGTCGCACCCAATGGGAGCGTCCAACATCTGAGGGCTCAGAATCACCATCCCCTCCAACATCTCCGGCACTTGTCCCAAGTCCAACCACGTCACCTACGTTAACAAGTGCACCTTCCTCTCCTGGTTCTGATACTGACGTGAATCCTGCTACAACAATATCCTTGAGGTGAAGTACTACTTACATAACTAGTAGTAAACTTCTTTTAAAATGTGTAAACTTCAAATCAGTGTTAGAAATATGTGTATTAAAAAAACATAGTAAATACTTTTATCGTTATCTGAAATTATAAAAAAAAACGTGTAGTTTTTCTTGTCTTGAAATATAGTTCCTATAATAATTTAAACAGTAAAATTCGATCATTTAGCTAATCTAATAGATAATAGTAGATACAGGACTGGCCCTAAAACATTTATTTGTGGTACTCCAGATTTTATTTCTTTTATCTTATCTCTCTAAATATGCATCACTATAACTCTAAAACACCCTTTTAGTTATATATGATTTAAAATGAGAACATTTTCAATGCAGTCGAAGTCAATTACATATGCATCATTAAGGATAACTAAAAACTGGTCGGATCTAGATAATATTGAAATTGTAGCACATGAGAAGCAACAAATTTCAAATAAAAAAGAATCATCAGTTCACTTTTTCATTTTTTGAGATGACACCTTCAAAATACAGTTTAATTGATAACCTCCTTTATTTTCAATTCTGTTAAGAAATAAAAACAAATTCATTCGTAATCAAGATAATAAACTTTACTCTGACAAAACCAAGATTAAATTATTGATATATCCTAAATTAATATCATACTTACAGACCAGAACCCCAGCCACAGACTGCAGTACGTCGACAACCCGCAACTTGTACGCCTCCGACCAGCCCTTCATCTCCCACCACTCCTAACACAGCTGCGCCTGCTCCGATATCAGCTACAGATTTACCTCCAGGATATGGTAAATATTGTCTAAGATCTTGAAGATTTCCCCCAAATCAGGAACATTATCCCAACTACCTATAGCTATACTGTAAATAGGTCCCTATAGTTGCGTTTACCGTAATCAATACCTACACAACAACAGTATGTTTGCTTACCTAACCCCTACCTTAATTTCTACCTAAAATGCTGGTCCTATTGTGAGCTTTTGTCGTAAATTCAGGCGTACGTGCCCGCATAAGGTTTGGATCTGTTAAATAGGTCATAACAAATTTTATTAACTTAATATAAATCATACACGTGATATACCTATTTAGAAAATGGACAGTGAAACTCTTGAGTGGCTGCTAGTATACTCAGGTAACAGGTATAATACTCAGCTGAACGTATCGGGATCCTTTTAAAAGTCCACTGAAAAAGTTTCAGTAAATGACCACCCATTTTAATGAGATTATATTTAATCACATATAATTTCATTTCATAATATCATTTTTCTTATAATTAAAATAAGACTTGACCTAAACTTAAGGTCTCTTAGTTAACAGGTCATAAAATTGCTTTAAAAAAGTTATGTATGTATGTTATGGTTGTACTTTCATAACAACCTTCTTGGGAAGATTAGTTGCAGTGGTTTCCTATTGTCTTCTGCCTCAGTCCTATAGGAGATTATTTAGATAAGTAGCAAAGCATTATTTTTTTTTATTGTCTGTTATTTTCCTATTTAGAGATGCGCACCACGGCGCAGGGCCAGGTTTACTTCTACAACAGCGCTACTGGAGCGTCGACGTGGCACGACCCGCGCGTCCCGCCGCACCTGCGGCACTGCGCGGCGGCGGCGGGCCCGCTGCCCCCCGGCTGGGAGATGCGGCACGCGCCCTCAGGACGACCCTACTTCGTGGACCACAACAACCGCACCACGCAGTTCACTGACCCCCGGCTCGCGCTCTCCGCTAGGCTTGTATGTAATCTATCTTCTATCTATATCTATATATAAATTAATTGCTGTTCGTTAGTCTCACTAGAACTCGAGAACGGCTCGACCGATTTGGCTAATTTTGGTCTTGAATTATTTGTGGAAGTCCAGAGAAGGTTTAAAAGGTAGATAAATATATAAAAATGCTCGAAATTAAATAAAAATAACAATTTTGTTTTCCCTTTGATGTGTCTCCCGTCGGAAGGATTCCTTTTGTTCCTACCCCATTTTCCAAAGTAATCAAGAGACCTATATCATTTTTTACCTGGAATAACTACATTAAAAATACAATATATGCCGTGAACGGTGAGAACAAAGATTATAAAATTGAATTTATTTATTAGACGAACGAACCTGCTCCAACAAGTACTGCGTCTTCGGTTGCATCACCAGCATCGGTTTCCCTCTCGTCGTCCGCCGCAGCCCCGGGCGCCGCTCCAGAGCCCCCGGACACTGACGCGCTACCTAAATACAAACGGGACCTTGCTGCTAAAGCGCGAGTACTGCGTGCTGAACTACAAGCATTACAACCCCAGACCGGACATTGCAGAATAGAGGTAATCTCCGATCTTCGGATTAACTTATAATAAATAGCTTGTAAAATGTTTCCAAATTTTTTTTTGTAACTGTTGTAAATTATCTATTATCTATCTATATATAAAAATGAATTGCTGTTCGTTAGTCTCACTAAAATTCGAGAACGGCTGGACCGATTTGATAAATTTTGGTCTTGAATTATTTGTGGAAGTCCAGAGAAGGTTTAAAAGGTTGAATGAAAATGCTCGGAATTAAATAAAAATAACAATTTTGTTTTTCCTTTGATGTGTGTCCAGTCGGACGGATTCCTTTTGTTTGTTTTAAGTTTATTTTATACAAAAGTTTACGTTTTTTATTTATCGATTGAGGCACTACGAAGTCTGCCGGGTCAACTAGTCAAAAATAATTGAATCATTAAATAAATGTCCCACAAATTATATGTTGACAGTACTAAGAAACTTGCAATGCCAACAACCGCTACACAGTTCATAAATGAGATAATAAAATTCATTATTTGCCACAGGTATCTCGAAACGAAATATTAGAAGAATCATATCGACTCGTAATGAAACTTAGAGGTAAAGAACTTCGAAAGCGGCTGCTGGTCAAGTTCCGCGGTGAAGAAGGACTCGACTACGGCGGGGTGGCAAGAGAGTGGCTTCATCTCTTGGGAAGAGAGCTGTTCAATCCTCATTATGGACTATTTCAATATGCAAATGCTGGTGAAGATAGATATGCACTACAAATCAATTCTGATTCAGGAGTGAGGAAATATTTATTTTAACTTTTTTTTTTAATAGCCTTTTTTCAGACAATATTTCATTTACATATATTAATTTTCTTTATGTTAACAATTTTATTTTTCTACTTTATATGTTAAAGACTTAACTCTATCCTTAACTATTTAACATCGATAACCCTGTCTGTATGTCATAATTTATTGACAAAGGCTTCCTCCAAACCTATTCCATTCCTCTCTGTCTTTGGCAGTTCTTGTTTATAAATATTTATCGAATTCTGTGCAAAAACCAGTGCATTCAACAACCGTATTTCTATATTTACTTACTAAAAGATAAATTTGCCTATATGAATCATCAATTGAAGCATGTACTGATTTAAATATGTGTGTTATAGGTAAATCCGGAACACTTATCGTACTTCCACTTTGCGGGCCGCATCCTGGGCGTGGCGTTGTTCCACGGACATCAATTAGACGCGGCTTTCACAGCTCCCTTTTACAAGCAACTCCTAGGGCGACCCATAACTCTGCGAGATATCAAAGATGTTGATCCTGAATTGCATCGGTCGTTATCATGGATGCTGTTAGTATTTGTATTTGTTTATTGATTATTTTACTTAGTCATTATATTACAAAATTAAAGCAATCCATTGCAGTAGAAAAATACTTATTTGTCTTTTAGATATTTGCAATCCTTTTTTATTGTTGAGGAAAGGAGTTTAAGGTATTCGTAAATTGTTGCCAAGAGACGCTGGGAAACTCCTACTATTAAGAACAACGAGAGAAATGCGATATATAGGAGGATTGTGCAAAATCACGTGAACTGGCACAGTGTTTTCCCTTATTCCTATTGTAGTGGCAAATAGGAAATACATAGATGATGCAGAAATTTTCTCAAATATTATAATGCTGTGATGTTATGGTATTACATTATGTTTTTTACAGTAGAGCAGCTTAACTTATCTTCTATGTATTAATACGTGAAGCAAAAACTTTGTATCCTTTTTTACAAAATTTGCGTGGACGGAGGAGTATCAAATTTTCCACACTTATAGAGAGTATAGAGAACAAGTGCACAATGCTAATATTTTTTCTAAATAATGCAAAAAAGATACATTAAAACAATAAATAAAACATTACACACACTACCATGTATTTGACACACATACGCATGCATACTATTTATTTATTGTCAAACTTTTGTTCTTGACTAGAATAGATTAAATATTGTTTTTCTTTATTAATATTTTTCTATAGTGTAGTCTTGGGGTTGAAAATACAATCATAATAGTGTACAAACTTACAATTCCAATTAATTATAGTCGAATTTCGACTACTGTGGGACTAGTTATCTAATTAATATTATACGATATGTCGTTTATCTTGTTACAGTGACAATAGTATCCAAGGCGTGATTGACACGACATTTTCTGTGGAATGTTCTTCGTTCGGCGCCGTCCGCAGCGTGGAGCTGCGCCCGGGCGGCGCGACCGAGCCCGTCACGGACGGGAACAAGCGCGAGTACGTGCGACTATACGTGGCGCACAGGTCTGTCTATACGCCTGTTTAAACTTTATTGACTCAAGTTTTTTATTTATTTTTTATTGCTTAGATGAGTGGACGAGCTCACAGCCTACCAGGTGTTGAGTGGTTACCGGAGCTCATAGACATCTACAACGTAAATGCGCCACCCACCTTGAGATGTAAGTTCTAAGGTCTCAAGTATAGTTACAACGGCTGCCTCACCCTTCAAACCGAAACGCATTACTGCTTCACGGCAGAAATAGGCAGGGCGGTGGTACCTACCCGCGCTGTCTCACAGGAGGTCCTACCACCACTAATAGTACAATACATACAATCAAGTACAATAATCACAATGCAAAAGTATAAAAATAACAGTAGTCACTCTTAAACTTGTGAAATGACACCAACCTACCTTCCAAAGTTCTTTAAACATCACAAATCTAGTACCTACTAATATCCTCTGAGTAAAATAACTGTAACAAATTGAAGTTTTAGTGGTCACCGTGGTTTTATTTTTACCATTTGACCATGGAACGCTAAAGGTGCCCTAATTCACCGACGTGTAGGTTCACTCGAGGCGCCGAGCGGCAGTGGCTGGCGCTGCAGCGCGGGCTGGCGGACGTGGTGCCGCCGCAGCTGCTGCGGCCGCTGTCGGCGCGCGACCTGCAGCCGCTGCTGGCCGGCCGCGCCGACCTCGACCCCACCGACTGGCGCCGGCACACGCGCCTCAAGCACCTCGCGCCCGACTCCGCGCTCGCTCAGTGGTTCTGGGAGATCGTCGACGAATTCGACCAGGAGATGCGCGCTCGCCTCTTGCAGTTCGTCACCGGATCGCGACGAGTGCCCCTCGCCGGATTCAGGGCTCTACAGGTTAGCTAAACGTTTATTAGTGAGAAGACAAATATGCGACCTCGGGTACTATTAGGAACTGCTACTACCTCGTCTGTCCATATCTTTACTCGATCTCATAGGCTCCAAATTTGGGTGTTCTCTTGCGTAATTCAGAAACATATACGTCTGAGGAACGAAAGACAAAACCCTATTTTATTGAAGAGAAACTTCTTTAGAATCGTTGTGATTTCAAACTCGATGAAACGAAACGAAAAAATAAGTCCATAGAGACACAAACACATAAATGTATAATTGTATTTTAATTTTTGAAGATGTCACTTCTACCACGTGTGAATTGCACACATGTTTTTTTTTTTCTACTAATCGACTAAATTTTAAAATAATCATATAGTATTCAATTGTTGTGTTTGCATATGGCAGGGTTCAACTGGAGTGGCGGCTCCGCGACTGTTCACACTGCACCTGGTTGCGGACGCGACTCCGGATTCTCTGCCGAAAGCACACACGTGCTTCAACCGCCTCGACCTACCTCCCTATCCGACCAAGCAGAAACTGCACGACAAATTGAAGCAAGCTATTCTCGAGACCGCCGGATTCGCTGTCGAATGACTGACGAAAATAGGTATATTTACTGGTTGAATTATTCGTACGCACAAAATTATTTCAGGACATAAGAGCGAAGGTGGCCTAAATTGTTTTAAATTAAGAAGTGTGCTCGAAACGGTATACCTTGTGTCATAATATCTTAAAATTAGCTAGAGTTAGGCAACATAAAGCAAGTAATACTAAAAATTGAAGAAGATAGGCCTTCCTTGAAATTGTAAACTACTGTGTATAACACATACCATATTATGTAATTACGTCACTAACTCTTGTGGCCTCATTTAATCAGTCATTACAAAATGGGATACTGTCGCAATTTATATATAGTATAGAAATTTAGTGTCTTTAAAGATTGGTACATATTTTAACTAAAATTGTACTTAGCTCGAAACAAACATTAGAGAGATCATTGCATTCCGCTATAACAAGTAATGTGTTCACGATAATTCGGGTTACATAAATTATTAAATAAAATAAAATTTTGTGAGCCTGCACAAATCTGTTACGGGTCCAGACCTCAGTGCTTATCTAAAAAAAAACTGCACTCTAGAATATCATATAAAATGGCCATTACGGATGATGACAAATGTTTGAACTTTGAGCTTTTTTGATGAAGATTTCTAGGTAACGATAATTGAAACAAAAGGTACAGGAAATAAGTATAATAAAATCTTCAAATAAAAGAAATAAATAATTTTACACCATCACAAGAGATGTTGTTAATAACGTCAGACAATAACTTCTAGCGTTTTAGCGGGATATTTGGATATTGCTTAGAAATATCTAGTTTATCTATAAATTAAATTATTATCATATTATTTTATATATGAAATTTGTTTCGTATAAAAAAATATTGGTTAAATTAAATATATGATCTATAAAATAAGAACAGTTTTAAAATATTTGTCGACATCTCTATTAAGCTACTCCAGAGTCATAAATTGCGAATGTCCATGACAATTTGACACGAGAACCATGTGATGTCTACCATCAAATGCACTAAAAAACCGTAAGCCCTATAAAATATATCAAATTCGACGAGTTGGCTGTTCATTATCGGTAGCTTTTCTAATCAAGACTGAGAATTTTGTGACAAAAGTGCTTTGTTTATTATAACTTTGCAAATCAAGGCTTTGCAATTGAAATATTAACTAAAATTCCAGTAACATTATATAATCTATTCAGTTTTCTGGTTCGTTGACTTATCTTTGGTGATGGTCACGACGGTATCACCTTAAAAAGAAACGTGTATTTGTTGTAAAGTTCAAGATCGTACAAAAAAACATACTTCGAGAGATAAAAGGCTGTTTGGTTTAAGCGACATTTCGCTTAATACGCAACATTTATCTTTGTAATTAATTATAGGTCCGTTTTATTTGGTATAAGTATCAACAATTTGATGTTTTTAATTGAACTTTAATTAAGTTTACCCCATTCAAATAGCTGAAGAAGTTTTTTTCTTATATTTTCCCATGGCTCTCCTGTAAAGTTGCAAAAATGTCGCTTAAACCAAAATAGCCTTTCACCCTTCTATATTTATTTAAAATAAAACATTGCTTAGATACATACAGGATAGTATTTACGATATCATAATTCAAAAGTCAGTGACCTTAATCTAAATAAAATACTACTAAATGTTGCCATCCCGTATGAGTAGTTTACAAATAATAGTAATAATATATAAAATTCTTCATAAAATAAAAATAATAATAAATGTAGGCCATGTTTTCCATTAAGGCGATACCGTCATTCCCATTTTGTCTACTACACTTCCAATAAATTGTAATAATTTATGTTTTTAATAATCTTCCATAGAAAGAATAAATGGTCAAGTACACATTCATAAAAAATATATTAATGAGTAGACAGATACACATATTTTCTTTTATTTCATTTTTTATGATACAATTACAGAGTCTCTCAATATAGATAACTTTTATTGACAGTAACGAGCAAAAGTACTATTCGTATATTTACAGCTAGTGCAATGCAAAAAAATTGTATAAAGTTTAAGCGTACAAAATGCACCTCTACTGACAAACAACAATCAGTTTGAATCGATCAGTGTTCAGGGTTCATCGAACTCATATTACGTTTTACAGCTAATAAATAATTCATCTATTAAATATTATTGGTCAAACGAAATAATGGAAAACTAATGTATACCTAGTTTAACTCGTGTCATTAAGGCCTAACTTAGTTCAACTATCTTTGGTTATTGGTTGTTTGATATGTAGTGTTATGTGTGTGTATATGTAAAAAAATTTTTTTTTTTTTAAAAACCACTTATTGTGTACAAAATATACCAATGTTACTGACATATGGAATAGGTAAGTTTATTAGTACAAAACGATATTATATAGGTATAAAACAAAATTTGTGAAACTTTTTTGTCTCAGCTAATGCTCAGTTTTGTGGTGCCTTATAAAAACACGGATATTGTATTGTTTCATCGCATAAACAATATTGATATTATAAACAAAAATGTGTATTAAAAGCGTTCCCGAAAACGAAGAAATGTTTTAGCACTGGTGATTTCCAACACATTAAACCTGAAAAAGGTGGGGGTTACCTCAGTAATGCTTTTTGCGTTCGAGTATTGTCTAATAAAATTTTAATGATTTTAGACTCCACTACGTCTGTTTACATAAATGTTAAATCTGGTTATAATTATTCATTTTTATTGAAAATTATGTATATTTGTTTCAATGTAATCAAAACAAATTTTACAATCAAAAGATAAAGAATACCCCTCCGTCCGCCAAGCTTGCAGTATTATTTGAAAGCAACCTGGCATGCAACGCAATACAATCCAAAAGCGACTATCTTGATGAATATAAGAGGCAACGTTTTATCTCGATCAAAATATAATCTAATACGATTTACGATTTCGAATACCAAATGTTTTCTAATACGACCTTACTGAAAAATAAACGTTTCCGGCTTTAGATTACTCGAACATAATGCCTAGTACTTCCACTGAGGTTCGAAATGAGTCTTCGGTAGGGCGCGGCTTAGACTTACCCCTAGTATTGTTGGGTTCGTGCTGACTTTTAGGGCAATAAAATTCATGTATTGTATCATATTAATATAATTCTCCGTTGGAGTAAGGGCCTGTGCACACCACGTTTTTTAAGCGCGCCGTCGATGCGCTTTTATCCTACATAGCGGTTTGTTGTCGTCTGTATCGATACAAACGCGCGTCGACGGTGCGTTTTTATCCCACAGAATGATTTCTTGTCGTTTGTATCGATACAAACGTGATACAAACGCGCGTTAGCATCGCGTCTGTATCGATTCAAACGCGTATTTGAATTTGTACAGGTGTGCAAAGGTCTACAGGCTGCGTCTGACTTGCGTGCGTATCGCGTCTGTATCGCTACGAACGCGCGTCGACGGCGCGTTTAAAAAACGCGGTGTGCACAGGCCCTAAGAGTAGTGATTTATTCCCAACTCGACATCGGGAATGGTTTACTTACACACAGTTAATTCACTTTAAACGACTGACGGTTGTACTATATTATTCGTATTAATTTTAAGAATTCTTCCATTTACTATATCTACTGTTTATATTATGTTAAGATTGTATTTTTATAATTTAATGTAACCGTTTTTATTCTGTAAATTTATACTTTTGTGAATTTTAACTTTTCTATGATTTATAAACTACGCTCATAATACCACAAAACAAACTAATCAAATAAAATCGGAACTAGACTTTATAAGGAAGATACTTGTAAATCAAAACATACAAAAGTACACTAAAAATATTTAATTTCTCAAACAAAACTAATAAGATAGATAATGTTCAAAAACAAACTACATATTAATAATTGTATTTTTTTTAATGAATTGTCTAATAAATAATGCGCAACATAAAAGCAGTAGACAGAATGATTTTAAATCTATTCTTTTTAGTTTTTTATCCGTTTCTTTATTGTTCAGACTTTTGTATATTTTGCCTAAATTAATAATATTTGTCTTAAGTCTGTAAGTACTCTGAGAACAGTACATGTTCAGGTGTACATTACAAATCATTAATAACAATTTATACAAAATGAATTCCATTTAAAAATTGTAAAACTCAATACTATGAATTAGCTAAAACAAGTGCCTTTTACCTGTTGCAGGGCTGTTAGTTGTAATTTAAAGTAACAAGGACTATCGCTTAACCGAGAAGTTCACTGAGGTACTGGCATGGTGCAGGAGCGACAGAGCTATTCTAAAATGATTTTTATTTTGAATAATACAAAGTTCATAGTTGGAAAACTTCGTTGAATTTATTTTGGTTGTGTTATTACCAATAAAAGTAACCCAGATGGCAACTTCTCAACTTGAAATTCAACACTCTCCCCTTTTCCCCCCTACCTAATCGCTTTAGCCTAAGGGGCTATTCCAGTTACGCGCGGACGGGTAGGTGAGCTCACGGGCTCAATTTGAGAGAATTTGCTAACACTAGCCCTAGTAAGAGCAGTGCTTCGCGGATTCTCCGGCCGGATCCTAATCGCGATCCATCTATTCACTTTAACTACATTTGTATGGCTCTTGTACTTCAATAATATGCGCTTTGTGACTCCTCACGCCTTCAGGACCTCGCATAAAACTGACAGCACTCTGCAAGATTAGCGATAGGCCTTTAGTGATGTTATCGTACTCGCTGTCGTAGAGTATAGTAACAACTAAATCTGTGGGTACTGAAATGTAAAAATGTTGGACTGCGCAGATGTAGATACTATGTTATTGGATATTTTCGTTGATTAGTAAAGATAATTGTCTATTTACTATTGTTCTGTTCCGACAGAGGCGAGCCTTAGAGATATAAAATATTTATTAGCCATAGACAACTTATATTTAAATCATATTAAATATTTTTGCACTATAAGACTTTTTATTCAATATTTATTATAACTACAAATAACATTTCACTGCGTTCATCCACAGTAGTTTCCAGAGATCATTTTTGCACCATCCAGCTTTGGAATGAACTCTCCCCTCTACGGTGTTTCCCAGGCACTATGATATATCCTTCTACAAATGAGACTTTCGGAGAGCAGCGATAGGCAGCGGCTTGGCTATTCGCCTGCTATTGCTGGCGTGCATGAGCGACGATAACTACTCACCATCAGGTGGGCTGTATGTTCGTCTGCCTACAAGAACAAAAAAACCTTACTATGCGTGGTATGATGTGCAATATAACGTCCAACAGTTTCTGGCATTGTTGTGTGAAGGTTAGGTGATCGAAACTTGTGTCTGAAGTGGGGAACTCTGGAACATGGTGAATTGAAATCAGTTAAATTCAACCTATTGAAGATACGGGTTTTTTTTCGGCCTGCCTGCCGGATTGGAACGCGATACACTGCCGGCCGGGTTGTTCTTTCACAGTGTGTTCGGGGACGACAGCGACAACGGCAATTCGGACCGCACCCGACAACGCGCCATCCCATCCTCCTAGTGCCAACACGCTAAAATGACGGTAGCGTGCAGCGCAGCCTCGTTCCCCTCAGGTCGCCCTGTGACTATTACCGGGAGGAGACTGCCTTGTCACAGAGGTCGGAGCTGGACGAACATCCTCCTCCGACCCCAAGCTCGACGGCAGCGCCACGGCGCCGAAGGGAAAGAAGAGCTCTCCCTCTCCCGTTCCGTCGCCTCCTTCTGCGAGATAGTGGACTCGCAGAATTCGAGCATCACCTACCAGGACTCCTCGCTGTCGAGCATCGTAGCCACGACGGTCGGAAGCGACAAATCTGGTCCTAATTTCGCAATGAGGACGCGGCGCTGCTCCGCGAAGGCGGGGCAGTATGTACGCAACCGTGTGCTCCGCCGTGTCCTCGTTACATCCACTACAGTGGTGGCACTTCGGCGTCGGCTTCCTTCGGGCGGCGAGGTGCAGGTAGCGGCCGAAATAGTCGTATCCCGTGAGCACCTGCGTCGTTGAGACGTCCTTGGTCGCAATTCAATCAATCCGAGAGGACCGGGCGGATCGTCTTCACCACGCATCGAGCACGGCACGCCGAAATTGAAGCTTCCGCACTCGAATTTCCGCCGTGCCAGGACGCGGTTCACCCTTGAAGCGGAGATCGCATCGCCACGCGTAATCCGCAGCGAGCGCCTCAGATTCCAGGTCCCAGAGAGGCGTCCCGGCAAGCACGCACGCCGCCTCGACCGAAACGGTGCGGTACCCGCGAACCGCCTTGATTGCAATTGCGGGCTGCGGACGTCGCGGGTCAGGGCATGGTGCCATACGGGAGCCCCGTACAACGCCATCGATCGCCCACCCCCTGACGTTCGGCAACAGCCGACTCAGTCAGCCGGCGGCCGCGCCAGTTGGGCAGCCAATTTTTCGAATTGAGCATGAAACTCCAACGACCGTCTAGTCCGAGACCGAGGTACCGCAACCCAATCGCCTCAATCTCGACGCGGACGCCTCCGATTACGAGGTGGACCTTTGAGGTGAAGCTCTCCGGGCTCCGTAAAACAATAGGGCCTAGGATTTCTTGAGTACCGCCTCCAGATCCAGCCTTCGGATCCTGCAGACGGCGAAGGCATTGAAGATACAGGCTTACGTTCACTGAGAAGGAGCCTTTTATTTTAGTGCTGTACACAATTTATTTCCAGCATTATTTTTCGCTACGTACCATCATTCATCATTTTTTTTAATTAAGTTCCCTCCACGGTGTTTGTTAGCGCTATGATATGTGTTTCTTCAAACGAGGTTTGAAGTTTGTTAAATTTTGGCGCTGTATAAACAATGTTCCCTTTGCTTGTTCAATTGAGTCACTTAAACAAAAAACTAAAACTTGATCTTGAGTTTTGTATTCTTCGACTGCTTGACGTGATTTTGGTTTTTAAATAGTGCACTCTACACACGCTTTTCTTTTCTTGTAGTAGTAATTCACGTAGTTCTTGTGAAAGTGAAGTTGTTGTTAAAAAGGCAAGTGCAAAATTGTTTTTGTTCCAAAAGCAAATTCAATTAAAATCAAGTGACAATGCCAACGAGTGCCGTGTATCAACCTACGACGGTAACGTACGAGCAGCAGCCTAATGATCAACGGTGGAATTGTCCCATCAGCTACTTTTCACGACGTGTGACAAGTAGTCTGAACCGGGCCGTTTGTTTGCGCATAGGATTGTGTTTATTGGGCAGCACTTTTTGCGTTATTGGTAAGTTTACACGCTGTTAACTTACTCTCTATATTATGCTGAATCGTGATGATGCATTGGTACTTTATTTTTTATAAATTATTTTTAAATAATGGTGATGCTTAACACAGTGAACTAGCTACTCGATATTTTATTTTTGTCAATTATTGTTATCTTTCATGATACTGTTGAGATAATTAAAAAAAAATAATAGGAAAGGCACATAATAAAGTTTAACAAATTCCCTATGCACCTAGGAATTACAAATTATACAAACTCATTTTTGTAGATTTCAAGAAACTAACACCAAACAATACAAAAATCTGTTTAAGACATTGCTAAACACAAAAAGCATGGTTCTGCAAAAAAGGCAATCAATTGCTTGAATGCATTAATCATTGATTCATAAAATAAAAACAAAATAATCAGTATACCTGATTTTGATGTTTGATTTGTATATCTGTAATAAATTATAGGACTCTTAATGGATCAGTGACATGTAATAAAATTTACTATATGAGAATGTTTGTCCAATTTTCAATTTCACCACCCAACACTTATATTATACACACACTATACACGCTTATAAATATAATTATAAAAGAAGAAATGGCTTACTTAGCAATAAAAATTATGTGTAAGTAAATTATAGCTTTATCAAAGTGCATAATGGATAAAGCGACATTTTTTTTGTTAATAAGTAATATGTATTTGTGATGCCAACTATATATGTCTATATGTCTATGGTATATATGTGGTGTCTGGAAGTAGTCATGGTTGATCATGATATTAAAAAAGTGCAGTTAAATATTTTTTTTAAACGCTTATATTAGCTTCAGATGTATGTTTGTAACGGAATCTTTGAACATGAGTTTGACCGACAAGGACCGATGACAATTCAATATTTAAAAAAATATATTGAAAAAATTGAAATTCAACTAAAAATGAAAAATTAATAATAGTTTAAAAAACTAACAAAATATGCTTTCATATAAAATCCATAGTAAAATCCAAATGCTTAATATCAGTAGTTATAAATATGTTATGAACAGATATGACTAGAAGGTCTATTTTCATAATATCCTGAAAAGCACCCCACACTTTTTTTACTATAAAATAATTTTTCCTTACACTATTTTTAATTCAAATTTATAAAAAAATATTTTCTATTTTTTAGTTGGATTTTATATAAAAGCGTGTTTTGTTAGTTTTTTTTTAACTATTATTTATTTTATTACTTTGATGGGTGGACGAACACACAGCCCACCTGGTGTTAAGTGGTTACTGGAGCCCATAGACATCTACAACGTAAATGCGCCACCCACCTTGAGATATAAGTTCTAAGATCTCAGTATAGTTACAACGGCTGCCTTACCCTTCAAACCGAAACGCATTACTGCTTCACGGCTGAAATAGGCAAGGCGGTGGTACCTACCCGCGCGGTCTCACCACAGGTCCTACCACCAGTAATTACACAAATTATAATTTTGCGGGTTTTATTTTTGTTAGACAATGTTATTTCTGCACCGTGTAAGTCAATTGTGAACATTGGTTGAGTACGTATTTCATTAGAAAAATTGGTACCCGCCTGGGATTCGAACATTGGTGCATCACTCAACACGAATGCACCGGACGTCTTATCCTTTAGGCCACGACGACTTTCATCCATGGTCCAATCAATAAGACTTGTTGAGACCCCTTTCTAAATGGCCCATGTTTTTTGATAGAATTCCATTACAAGATAGATGATAGGATTCACGCAGTTGGTGCTATGAACTGCTGCAGCGATTCACAACCAGTGGTGTGGATACTCCTGGGGTATTTTAGTGTCCCATTGAGGGTATGTGAAAATTATATTGGTAATGACGAAAATATTGAGAAGTTATCAGAGTTATATCAGCATTACACACATTCATATTTACATTATAGAGCATCATGTTTACAATATTTAATTTAAAATGAACTTTATGACTAATTACTTATAGTGATCAGCTAACCTATGAATGTTGGACTGGTAAAATACAGTACATTCATTTGTATACTGTCTGTCTGAGAGGAAATTAATATAAATAACCTGTTTTTTTAATGTCTCAGATAATAAATGGAATTCACTGTTGAAATTAAATCCGAAACCCTCGACTCAAAACCACCAACTCTTATAATAATATTGACAACAATAAGTAAATAATAAAAATAAATAAAATGATATAAAAATATAAATTTTCGTTAATGTATATAGAGACTTATGGTTTCGTTTCGCTTTTTTCGTTTCCATAATGCCTATGAGCCTAATGGCTTCGAAATTCTATATAGTTTTTTTTTGAAACGTCAATAAATAGCATGAGATATAAAAAGCTTCGATTTCAATAAATCTCTTGGGTGCGTGTGTGATCAAAATCAAAAGTAGCATACGGTAGTAGTAAAGATAAACGCGTTTCAATTACGCTTACGGTCATACAATGAACGGTGGTCGTGCGTAAATGGTATCGGCCTGTATTGAGCGTCCGGTGCAACCAGGCGGTAGGCAGGACGATTGTGGTCGGTGACTCACGCTGTGGCTGTGAATTGCCTTGTGCGGCCGCGTGATGAAATCACTACAACGTATTATATGTACGAAACTTACATAAATTAGCATAAGTGAATATGAATATTATTCAAGACTAATATACTTACAACCGGTAGTTAGTATTCTTTGACGTGCTTCGAATTTACCTACTAATATTTTCAATTTTCATTTAAAATTTATGATAGGCCTCAAATTTATGTTAATTTATTTATACATATATAGAATGGTTGGTAATCATTCAACATTAGAATCAAAATGAAGTCACTTCTTGATTTCACCAAATGACTTATGTATTTGACAATATTAACCATGATAATATAAATAGGCAAAGATAAAGTAGTTGAGAGTGACAACTAACATATCACTGTTTGTCAACCGATTTTTTTTATTTGCTACCTACTTCTAGTTATACATGGTGAATGAAACAGGCTGACCGAACGAAGGTCGACAAACTCTAATAAGCCTTGCTCCGGCGTCTGCCGTCTCGTTTCCTTAATTATAAATTATTCAATTATAATCCTTGTCCATACTAGCTATCTGCGTAAGAGAACAAAAAGTGAGATTTGAATAATTATTTCGTTATTTTAGTAATACGTACGTACTCAACAAACGTTCACGATTGACTTCCACGGCAAAGGAATAAGTAACATCGTGTAATAAAAATCAAACCCGCAAAATTATAATTTGCGTAATTACTGGTAGTAGGACCACTTGTGAGTCCGCACGGGTTGGTCCACCACCACGCCTATTTCTGCCGTGAAGCAGTAATGCGTTTCGGTTTGAAGGGTGGGGCAGCCGTTGTGACTATACTGAGACCTTAGAAATTCTTTCTCAAGCTGGGTGGCGCATTTACGTTGTAGATGTCTATGGGCTCCAGTAACCACTTAATACCAGGTGGGCTGTGAGCAATAAAAATAATTAGGTAGGTATATATCGTTACACAAAAAAAAAAAACTCAGTGTCACGATTTTGTTACTGACAACCAATAATAGTGAAGATAATGAAAGTAAGTTCTACTCTGCAGATATCGGAAGTGAATGCTTGTCACTTTTCAATGATTCAGGGACATTTAAGCAGAACAATCATCCATCTTAATGTAAAAAAACGTCAGATTACCGGTCTTTCAATGCTTTTGATGCGTGACAGAATAATCTTTTTTTAACGCCGACTGTTTATCAACACTATGGATTCCCAAGCGGGCCCAGATGACGTTGTTCAATAAAAAAAAAGCCTAGATTATAATGACGGCGTCACCTATCGGTTACAATTGTAAATCTAAACTCTCCAAGCACCCCTTCAAATACACAAAAAAATGTTCCAAAACCGCGTCATCCGGAACAGTACTATCCTAGATAAAGTTCCACATGGCACTCGTAAAAGTATATCATAAACTAATTTTAGTAACTCGTTTATGTATTTCCGTGTGTTCCGTGTGCTTATTGTTCCATTTCCATTACGGGTGAAAGTGGGGCCTAATGAATTGTTAATTCGTTTAGCTGCCCACTGCCTTAACCCACTGTTTCCGCTGCAGTGTCCCATTTACGCAACAACTCGTCATAATTATTCGTACTATTATGGTACAGAGAGTAATAATAACATGAAATTTAAAAATATAAACTACCCTATTGTTTTTATTTTTAAAGCAACAGACACCTTGTGCACTCGTATGGAAAGATGCAATAATGTCGTTGTTCAAATCCTGTATGCAAGTACCATTTTTTCTAAGGAAATACATACTTTTTTTTATTGCCCTTGTAGGCAGACGAGCATACGGCCCACCTGATGGTGAGTGGTTACCGTCGCCCATGGACTTCAGCAATGCCAGGGGCAGATCCAAGCCGCTGCCTACCGCTTAATACTCTCCACAATTCTCGTTTGAAGAAGGACATGTCATAGCGCTCGGGAAACACCGTGGAGGGGAGCTCATTCCATAGCCGGATGGTACGTGGCAAAAAAGACCTCTGGAAACACACTGTCGATGAACGCAGCGGTTCCAGATAATATGGATGAACTCTGCTCCGAAAATTAATACGTAATTAATACGAGTTTACGAATCCTTTCGCCTTGAAGGAATAATATATTGATACCAAAATAAAAACCCGGAAAATTAAGGGTAATTACTGATGACAAGAGTGAAGGTAGGTAGGTAGGTACCAGTATATTATTATGTGTCTCAATGTCAATGGTCGCATTCGCGGACATGTCTACGTGTTCCATTATCATTTAACACGCGGTGAGCTCCAGCTATATAATTTCAAAACTCTCTATAAAAGATTTTAAAACAACTGACAATCAAAAAGACTAGAGATCGTTTCCATTCTGTTATTAAGTACAGTAACAATGCGTAGGATGTCCGCCTACAACCATATAAATAATTGTGTAATTGCTATTCCATATTGTCTATCTAATAAATAAAAAACGAATAAAACATTTGATCGCTTTGGTTGAAAATAAACCACGAATGACACATTCTCCATTCAACTGTTTCAATACGTATCTCTCTTAAACTTGTTTTAAGTGTAACGCGAGTATTTTTGTTTTTACAATAATTCCAAGATTAATGATCATTCGCGTTTATGTATGACCGTCTTGACGTCTTAAAGGAACGAAATTTTCCATGAAATTCATTTTTTGAAATCCTTCATTTATTCTCAAATATCGAAAATTTATATTCTAAAAATTTTTATCATACATCAGCTCAAATTTATAGTTTTTTTTTTTTGTATTATGCGTGAAGGCTAGTCGAAGCTTACGGCCCACCGGATGGTACGCGATCACCGTCTTCAACGACATCCGTAATGGGTTTCCAATCCGTATGGGATTCATTTTATCAAGAATATTAGAGATACATTTTTGAGCTTCTGAATAATGTTGAAAATATTTTTGACATTAACTGCTTTGATTGCATTGCATTGCATTGCATTATTAAAATATACGGTGTTAACCAATATTTTCGGATAAGTCAAAAGATATAATAGGCATTTTTTTCACTGTACTAATAATAATCGAGCTCGTTGGCACAAATTCCGTTTTTAATAAAATGTTTGTACTTAAATGTTAATTCTTATACACGTTTCTTTGAATGCAATTAATCATTGCATTGCATTTGTTTTCAAATCTGTGAACAAGTTCTAAATCATTTTATGAAAAATACGATTTTTTACTACGATACTACTAAAAGCTATCGATTCATATCAATGGGCCATGCGGAAGCGAGGGTCACTTCGTGTGCCCTTGACTATAGTGAAACACGCACCTATGAATTTACTGGAATGGAGGGTGTTGGAACCTTCCTATGACATGTAGCTTAGAATATATTTCGTGCGCGGGAGGACTATGAATTAATTGAAATGATATGAAGTGGTTTCCTCTAGTTTAGAGCCAGGATCGGTCCGCCCTCTGAGGTGGGCCTAGAATTTACGAGTGGCCTAAGATGTGTATCGGTTTTGTTTGAAACTCCGCTTCTGTTACAGTCCCTAAGTCCAACTCCAAAGACCCAACGACTGGTGCAGGCAATGGCATTTCGAGGTTAAGGGTTGTGTTCTTGAAAGAAAAGAGTGCGATATCTCTCTCTCTTTGGCCTAAAACCTACAACCATGTACTGGCATATACATTAATGTATTAAAACCGATTGAAACTCCTAAATGTTGGCGTTCTATCCGTTCTCTGTTCCATTTTCCGTTTATATTAAAATAAAACTCTATACATATAAATATAAGAGAATATGCAAACAAGCCAAGGTATTCATTCATATCTTAGTAGAATGACCGATGATAATGTGTGAAGGTTGAGCCAAGGCCCTGCTTTGTAAGATATTTTATATAAGAATCATGCATGGTTTAATGGTTAAAACGCTTGGTATAAGTTGTGCTCTTATAAATAGTAATACTTCTAAAATGAGCTCACAAAATGTTTTTAGGATGAATGAACAAAGTTGTGTTATAAAATCAAACTCAATATACATAAATTTTGGTAATACCCTTTAGCGATGCTTCCTTTGTTCTGTACGTTGTAAGCTCGCACAGGTCAACAGGTGGGCTGTAAGCTGATCTGTCCATTAACGCTAGTAGAAAAACCGTTCACGTTAAACCTCTTCAAATAAAACATGATTGATTGAGTGTGCTTTACTATATACACCGATGAAAAAAGACGAAATAAATGCAAAGCCTTAGGAACTAAGAAACAAACAAATATAAAATAATTCTACACGTTACCGGTTTACGTTTGAGTGTTTTTATTACTTTTCTTAAATGTACTTCACTATTTTGTATGCTTTGTGCTCGAAAAGTTTCGAGACTCGATAAAATAATTGGTGCAAATGTTCTAACTACATTCCCGCTCAGACGTCGGAAAATACAGCTGCCGTCGCCGTAAATGCCTCTTGTTAGATTCTCCCCATCCACTCTCTGTGATTTTAGGTATTTCAAGCACCGCTCACCGTTTTCGTCGAATGCGACGAAGAGTTTTTTTTTTTATTGCTTAGATGGTTGGACGAGCTTACTGCCCACCTGATCTTAAGTGGTTACTGGAGCCCATAGACATCTACAACGTAAATGCGCCACCCACCTTGAGATATAAGTTCTAAGGTCTCAGTATAGTTACAACGGCTACCCCACCCTTCAAACCGAAACGCATTACTGCTTCACGGCAGAAATAGGCGGGATGGTGGTACCTACCCGAGCGGACTCATAAGAGGTTCTACCACCAGTTTGATATGCATCTTAATTCACAGACCCAACCCACTGAGTTTCTCGCCGAATCTTCTCAGATTCCGAAGCGGTGGTAGATTCAGCGAAGCACTGTTCTTACTAGGGCTAATGTTGGCAAAAACTCGTAGACTGAGCCTCTTTAGTTCGCCTATCACTCCGGTGTTTCCGCAATAGCCCCCGGAGCGATTAGACATGGTCAGTGTTGAAAAATGTTATTCGTTTAATTATCAATATCTCTGTCCAGGTTTGGCACTGCTCATAGCTGGCATCGTACAGTATTCGAACACACCAGACACAACGCCAACAGGATCAGACAATGGGCTGGGAACGCTGATTGCGGGTGGTGTTATATTGCTTCTTGGATTAATATTTGCCGGTAAGTGACTTTTTATTTGTTCAACGTGTAGGCTAACAAAGTTTTTGTGCTGACATTTTGATTATACAGTTTATTATGAGAATGCCTTATTGTAGGATTAACGAATAAGTTCCAACTACTGATCCCAGCAGCTTCTTCGGTGACGCTCACAAGTAAAATTTTCAATACACTAGTTGTGCTTGAGCCTTTGAGTTCACTACGGAAACTGTTTATCATGAGGTGAGCCGTGAGCTAGTCCGCCCATCTTAGTACAAAAATTCACAAAAACTAATACTAATGATAGAATTTATTGTTTTTTGACAGGATTACATAAAAAAATGCGTTCGAAATTAGTTTTTTCCACTGCATAAAAAACATGATTCAACTTTAAGATCAGACGAGGAACCACACGGGGTCATCGTTCTCGTGTTTGCCATCTGCTTTCGCTTTAGATTTCGGGTTACGTTTCAGGTTTAGTACGTTGTTTCATTTTCGACGTCGGCAACTTTAAACTTATACAGCCTACATAATTTTACATGTCGATATTAGTATTCTAATATAAGTTTTTTTTTTTAAAGTTTCGAGCGAATAAGACATATAAATTTGTAGTTATTAAATACAGATTTACAATACAAACCAACGTTTCACCCGTTTCCAACACTGCAAAATCAGAATGTTTCTTATCTACTCACGTCATATCGCAGTAATAACGATTTCAGTTGTATTTGATGTACATTGATGATATCATCAATTAGTTGGTCAATAAAAATCAATTATTGACAACTAATTTTATAGGCTCATTTCCATAACATTCATTAAAAATAAAAATTCATCGTTAAGAATCATATTGCATTTACCTGTATGGTGAAATGACAATGGAAAAAGGCGATATAATGTTGAAATATGTGTTTTTTACATTGTAATTCAATGAGTAGATTTATGTATAAAACTAGCGAGCCGCCCTCACTTCGCTTCGGGAACTGTAATTTATTGTTGATCTTATTAAATATTGTTTTATGCAAATCTGGTGGTACAGCCCAAAAAATAAGTTTCAAGCCTTTAGCGCTACAAATGACGGTACTTCCATACAATTTTTCATCCCCTCAATTCAACCCTTTAAAACACTTTTTGCGCATTAAACATGCCTATGTCCTTTCTCTAGACTATCTATGTACCAAATTTCATTTAAATCGGTTCAGTTGTTTTGGCATAAAAGCGCGACAAACAGAGTCACTTTCGCATTTATAATATTATAGTATACACTTATAGCGTGGATAAGGTTCTAAACAGTCCAAAAATCATGATAAATCCCTTAATTAACTTAAGGCTAAAGTTAACTTAAAAGCACTGAGGGTGAATTTTAATGTAGTCTTTGTGAATTCACAAATCAATAGCTTTGCCATTTACTTGGGGTCAGCCACACCAGTTTGTCTGACGTAAGCTCGACTTCCGGCGACCTCGAGATAAACTCATACAGTTTTATTGGAAAATTAAACCATGACCTTTAGGTTTTCAAATTCAAAACTGGTCGTCATAACAATTCGTTTTCATCACAAATGTCTTACATCATAAAATATATTATCCGTAACAGTGGTGGTAGTTCTGTATATTGAAGATATAGATATAAATAGATATAATAATATATTATCTTCACTACATAGTATAAAACAAAGTCGCTTTGTTTGTCCCTATATCCCTATGTATGCTTAAATCTTTAAAACTACGCAACTGATTTTGATGCGGTTTTTTTTAATAGATAGAGTGATTGAAGAGGAAGGTTTATATGTATAATAACATCCATTAAATAGTGGAGAAATCAATAATAAATTACAGTTTCCGAAGCGAAGCGAGGGCGGGTCGTTAGTATAGAATAATCTTTACATGTACCCGACCTCATGCCACACTAGTATTTTTTAGGGGGAACGGTAATGGGAAGAGATTTTCCACCAAGCAGATGAAATTGCTCTGTACAACGACGGTCCGAATATTTTTGTTCGGGACTTGTATAGATACCAACCTATTTTAAAAATATTGTTAACATCATACAGACATTTTAGATAACACCTTTACACATCTAAAAGCTTATGATTATATATTTTACCAGCAAACAAATAATAAACTTGAAAATATTTGATTTGTACACAAGAACTGATGCCCGAAATACGTAGATGAATCCATAAAACCACAATCTCACAATCAAGTGTAACAAGATGAGCTTCCAGTACATTCTAATTGTTTATTGTGACGCTGCGCTATCTATTGCTAAATATTATTAAAAGAAATAGCGCGTCTGCAATCGTACATTGATGGTAATGTGCCAGAAACCTTTTTAACACGCTTTTATTAGCTTGGTATGTATGTACGTGTATATATAATATATTTGTTTTGAATCTAATTGAATCTTTGATCGTAATTTTCTCCGACTTCAAGACCTCCTGATTAACCTGAAAATTTGCACGCACATCAAGGACCGATGACAAAACAATAATTTTATAAGCTGTAATTTCCTTACCACTATCAGTATAAAAGAATATACAATTAATTGTTCATTCGGTTTGATATATTGTTTAGTTTTAAAACTAGATAATATAATATTTCAAGTGGGTGACACCACAAAGTTTCTATTCAATAAATATTTTTTTATTTATTTTTTGCTTAGATTGGTGGATGAGCTCACAGCCCACCTGGTGTTAAGTGGTTACTGGAGCCCATAGACATCTACAAAGTAAATGCGTCACCCACCTCAAGGTATAAGTTCTAAGGTCTCAAGTATAGTTACAACGGCTGCCCCACCCTTCAAACCGAAACGCATTACTGCTTCACGGCTGAAATAGGCAGGGTGGTGGTACCTACCCGTGCGGACTCACAAGAGGTCCTACCACCAGTAAAAAATGTTATACATATAAATATTTAGTATTATGTTAAATTTGTTGCGAGAGAAGCCGTAGGAGAAACCTAATGTTATCTTATATCGGTCGACGTACTCAGGCCTCATGCGGTAGTGACCGGTTGCCGTAGCATGAGCTTATAACATGTGGTCGAAGTCTAAATCCTATTCTGGTCACTGTTTAAAAATAAAATAAACGATTGCAACGTGTCAGATATAGTTTAAAGTGGTGGTAACAGACCGCGAACTTGCAATACGGCCTATCAATAGTAAAACATTTCTAATAACAATTATTGCGACCAGTTTAAAACCACAATTTCTGTCCGAACATAATATTCGTTATCGCGTCTTAAACCTCTATGTATCGTTCACGAGTAAGTACTACGAGCAATGGATTTTCACTTTAAATGATTAAAAAAAATTTTATTGCTTAGTTGGGTGGACGAGCTCACAGCCCACCTGGTGTTAAGTGGTTACTTTAGCCTATAGACATCTTCAACGTAAATGCGCCACCCACCTTGAGATATAAGTTTTAAGGTCTCAGTATGCCAACAACGGCTGCCCCGCCCTTCAAACCGCAACGCATTACTGCTTCACGGCAGAAATAGGCAGGGCGGTGGTACCTACACGCGCGGATTCACAAGAGGTCCTACCCTTAAGTGACTATAATTTAGGTTAAGTGAACTATAAAGAAGCTAAAAACAAAACAGCAACCATTTCCTCGTCTTTTTGTTTATCGTTATTTTTTGTTAGCAATAGTGTTAAAAATTTGTGTTGTTTAGTCAATAAAATAAATAGGTTTTTTTTTTCTGAATATAAACAACAAAACACATATTATTATGTAATACATAAAAGGATTATAATTATTAAGGTGTCAGTTGATTATGGTCGTATTTCGATCATTTGGGTCAGCACTAGTGAATGATTATTCGTTACTACGTAAACTTTACGTATAAACTGCTTGAGCTAATAAACACATTGTCGATACCCGAATTTGTCAACGGCGACAAACCAACCTACGATTCTCCTAATAGAATTCTGAGTTACTAGTTGACATGGTTGATGCTAACTTACTTTTGACATACTCAATTAACCGAATAATTTAAAACTTATATTAATACTTTAAAATTTTATACACCAATAATACCACCACCACCACCAATAAAACCATATCCAATAATTTAAAATTTTAATAATGTCCTATGAAAGAATAAAATTTTGTGTATCATAAATATTTTCAGCTAATCCTAAACTTATCGTGTCGTACATATTAAATAGTAGTTTACCCTCCAACACTCGTATTATCTAAGTGATTTTCGGAAACGGTAAATATAGGAATGCTCTTGCAGCTTTCGGTGCTTGGATATGGTCGTCACGGCTGACAGGCGGCAAGGAGGCACCCAGCAGTGGTGCTGCTGGGCTGACTGCCCTAAATCCGTCCACGGACCCCCTGGTGGCGGCCCAGTACGCGCCCGTACGAGACGCCCCGCCCGCTCCTGACGATGAGATGCGCAACCTCATGGACAATAAAGAATGGTAATCTTTTTTTATTTATTTATTTATTTAGACACACCAACAGCAATACACACAAAACATTCAAGCTTAAAATTAACATATATAAAATTAAGTACTGGTATGTAAGCCAGTTACAGGCATGTACAGCAATCTCTTATAACACACTATGACATGTTACAGCCATTTTACAAACAGCGGAAAAATAGGCTAAATTTAAATGATAACAGTGAAAAAAAAAGTGAACCACTTAACATTCTCTCATCAATTATAAACGAAGGAACTAGGATACTACTTAGATAATTAATTTCTATTAATTTATTTGTGGACCTGCAATAAAATGTTATTCTATTCTAAGGTCGAACATTATCCAATGGCGGCGCGGCGTGTTGATGTTAGATTTAAAACGTAATACAACCGAGCTTTGTGTTCGGATCCAGGTGTTACAACACTATTACGCCATGAACTTAGTCATGTCATTAGATAGAACAATGCTGTTTATACAACTTTGTGATGATATGTACAAGCGCACGACGGTACTTGTTTTCAGGGTATTCGACAAAATTGTATATTAACTGATATGTTTACATGAACAACCGTAGGGCATTAAATTTAAAAAAAAAAAACAACACAGTAAGATAACTCTGTGTGATTATTGGTGTATTGGTGATAGGGCGTCGTAGTCCGCACGGGTCGATCTCATCGTTACAGTGCAGTCCAGACTGATATCTCGTCACCGGAGCAAAGGCGCTTCGTGATGTGTCAATAAATATTAGTAATCACGTCGGTCGTGATATATCGTTAACACAATCAAAAATTGACAAACGAGACGACACATGAGTCGTCTATTATCAAAGGTGGCAATCTGTGCATTTGGACAAAAAATTTTTATTGATATGTCAATACAGATTGATTTGAATATAATTGTCTCCTTCAAAGAATACGGTTCAAAACCTGCATTAAATAAAGGTTAATAGTTAACCTGTTATTTATCTAAGATGTCGTTCCGAAGAGTTTTGTGACTGCCAATGGAATACAAAGTCAATAATTCGTTTTTCTGATTTACCAATCATTGTCCAAAAGTCAGATTGCCGGCTTTGATAATAGTCGACTCACATATTACTTATATTATATATATTGTTTAGTACAAATGTGACGACACATATTACTGCTTCGTTTACAGCTTGAGCAGCGCGGAAGAAAGCGACAAGATGTTGGACGGGAGGCCAAGTGTGGCCTAGGCGTTTTATTTTCAACGCAACACAGTATTCCGCGAGTGCTTAGGCTAGTCTCGGATATTCCCACTGTAAAACTCAAACAATAATATGGTATACTACATTCGAAATACCGGATTCTCGTGAGACAGCTACAAGTAACATTTAATGTATATTTAATATCCACCTTTCGTGTCCGTAACATTAAAGTTGAGTTTTTTTTTTTTTTTGTACAGATTATATTAGTTAATAGACACGATTTGCTTTGCCGCTATTTATTTTTACAGTTTACCAATTTTGGACTCTTTAAATATGTACTTAAGGGTCTAGTTCGCGAAATCGATACGTGTTCTAATCATGTTTACGACTCGCTAAAACTGTTGTGTTTCAAATTTTGAAACACCATGGATACATATTCTCTTTTGTGTAACATTATAAATAGTTCGTTTATTAATCACAGTTATATTACTTATCTTTTTTTTTTTGTGGCACCCAATGTTACAATATCCAATTATATAATATTTTCAATTGATTAAATTCCTTACATATACACAATGTATAATAATATCATAAGTGTTTGAAGTGTTCAGATAGCGGTACTTAATACGGACTTTTATCTAATTAAATTCACCTCACTCACGGTTCGTTTTATCGATATTCGATAAACTAAAGATATTGTCTAAATTGATTATTGTAATTAGTAAAAGACATGTGGCCAAACTATCGTCCATATTCACAATACGTTTTATTCATAAAAGTAATGTTTAAATATAAGTTTATCATATGATCTTAAATAAATATAAGCCCCCTCACATAAGTTTAAAACATTTTTAATTTACGAGTAAATACTATTTATTATTTTACATGTAATTTCAAAAGATGCTTAAATACTTTACCCTTTTTTTTTAATGAAATCCAAGCTCATTTGTAATTTTAATATATTTTTATTAAGCCGTCCCTTGTAGTTATAAGCGTGTGTATTGTATTTCTAGCGGTATTATTACTTATCAAATGTTTATATTTTTCATGTACGAAAAATATTAGTACAATGACTTAAATTGTATGTATTAAATGCGTTCATGAATTCTTCTAAATATTTTTTTATTAATCCGTACTAAATAGAAGTTTTCTTTGTAACTGCAATATTAACAGATGTGTGAATTATGGAATTTTCTGATAAAATGCATACAGTTTCCGGCAAACATCTTCAATACGAATTGGCGCAATTCAGAAAAGTGCAAGTACAAACCTTCATTAATAATTCAACATATTTTTCCCTAAATCAAGTAAATATTAGTAATAACACTTTTTTGAAAAGTTAAAATCTTCAATTACTATTTGCATAGATTGTCATTTTAAGCTGTATTCTAATAGGACCTAGTTTGATAAAAAATTGGTAAGAAGAGATAAAAAAAAGTATTTCTATTTCGGTCAACGGTATATATATTTCTGTAAACATTTCTACATTCCGCCTTTTAATCTTCGAATATAATATTATCTGCAAATACAATCTTCTAATGATATTATGATTAATTGTTGAAACGTTGGAATTTAGCTGGATTTCGGTTATCTCTTACAGCATTAGATCTATAGTAATAAAAGCAGAGCTGGTTCAATATTATCATAAGAAGTTGTATAGCGATAATGATTATTGTGCGCGCGAGTGTACTTATTTGCGAGGCAACGGAACGTGGGCGCCGCGCGGGAGGAAAGCGTCGACTGATTATTATATTTAAACTATAACCAATTATTGTACGATGGTAAGGATATTTTCTCACTCCGCCGCCCCGCACCCGGAAAAGACAAATAAAAAAACTAATTCTAAACAGCCGAGATGTTTGCTGAGGACTGTACTTAGTATTAGTTTACTCATTGCTCTCTTTTAATATAAAATATATTTTTTTTGCAACAAAATTGTGAAAGTAGTTTTATTTTGAATAAAATTGTAATTTTTTACTTCAATTTTTTTTTCGATCCATTTCACATGATTGTTTAAACATATTTTATAAAGCATATACATATATTTTTATTTTATTTTTGTGAAAATTTTATATGAATTTTATTGGTGCAATTGTAATTTAATTTATTATTCCTTTTAATAGTCAGAATTGTGTGCGGAAAGTTGCACTACTGAAACCTAGCAAGAAACCATCTTATATGTGCATTTCATTTTTATTTTAGTCATTTTTTATTGTGTGATCGGATACCTAATTTATTCAATACGTTTAGTGCGTTCTATATTACGTATTTTTTTTAATCTTTATTATGTACTTAAGCTAAAATTTTATCTCATTTATTATAATAGTATATGAAATAAAAAATTAGTAACGAAAATGTTGTTTCTTTTTCGTCACGTTCACTGTTTATCCTTGGGAGTGGCTGATGTCGCCCATGAACATCTATAATGATCAAGAAGTCTCTCGAAAAGCTAAAGCCGCTTTCGGACTACTCTATAATATAATAGCATATAGTATATAGCTCACAGCACAACAATATCGCGCACCATACAATGTTATGGACACGTTCACACTACTGTACTATATATTATTGGCTAAGTGTACGCTGCTATACTATATGGTATAGCGTAGTCTGAAAGCAGCTTTAATGTTTATAAAGAAGCGTTCGTTCCAGAGCCAGACAGCCGGTGGTAAACTCATTTGTAAGTTTTATATACTTAGTGTCAGCGGTGGAACGCTATTTCGAGACCATAATCATGGCCGCCAACTACATCCCTGACCCGGATGACACAGTAGCCAGCCGCCGTCGCCGTCCTGATATGTCCTGGTAATTCCCTTTTTTTCCTACATAATTACTGGTAGCCCAAGGATCTATTGCTATAGCTCACCCTCTTGTTGTGATGAAGCTGGAACGGCCTCCAGGCTACCAATATTCCATCCATCTCAAAAAAAGGCACGTGGCAGAAATATAGTGAAACAGAATGAGGATTAAGGGCAGAGACTTGTGCAGTGATAAAAGCTGACGGTGTTGTTTCAAAGAATTTATAATAAACATTTAAAAAGAGAGCAAATGCATGTCGAACTTACGTCCAGGAAAAAATACAAATTATATATAGTTATAGTGAGAAAAGATTTTCGTTCGTAATATTTCTGAAAAGTTCGTATTTATAGTGCTCTCTCAAATACCCATCTTAGAGCCGTAGGAGTATGTCGCATCAGCAGACCAGTATATTTATAGAGTGGATATTACGCAATTCGCTATAATTTTAAAATTTTCATATAACATAATAATGATAATGATAAAGATTCGAGTTTTCCCGAAGGAAAATAATTTCTCACTACATCTACATATACGTTCATTTTCGATCGAAATTTAAATTTTTTGTGTTAGAAGATAATAAAAAATGTTTCATACAATTTGTTCAATTTAGATTATATCCGATATCAGGGCTTATTCCAAGGATTTGGAATATTTCGCTGCGTTTAGTCTTCCAAATTCTGGCAACTACCTTATCAGTTTTAGGTGTACAACACAAATTGGAAGCATCATAACCTAAATCGTTTTGAAAGCAATTGTTCCCCGTTACCTACAAGCGGAAAGCATATTTTTCTATTACTTTTAGTTTTATGATTCTCGTATTTGTATTGTACTATAAATACCTGAAACATCGTAGTCAGAAAAATGCAAAAACTAAGTTCCATATAATATTTTATTTTACAAAATTGTATAGTTCAATAATATATTCAATGCAATATAGGTTTTTAAATACAAAAGCTTAAACTTAAAATTAATCAGTCTCATTATTACGACGCCACCACGGGACACCGGTAATGTCTTCATCCGGACATATGTTCGTTGTTGGCCTGAAATTTGTAAAACAATGTTAAATTAGGTAATAATTTTTAAATTTGAGTTTACCATTTCTTCATTTTTCTTCTGATTTCAAACATTAAGTTACTAAGCACTGAATAACTATTGTTTATTGAAACTTGAGTCAAATAAACAAAGCAAAAGTATAAAAGAAAATACGCCTAGATTAAACGTTAATTATGAAATTCTACTGTATGATATAAAAAATTTGACATGATTCTGATGTCTGCATCTTTATTATGAATATATAAAAATTCATTAATCAAAACAAGTCAAACTTCGAAATGGTTTATGAAAGTTACACACAGATGTCTTTGCATTTTGAATTTGAGCTGAAGCCTTACGTTTTTATACCTCTAATCTAAAATTGATAGTTTGTCTGCAACTGACCTTACTACAATAGGTAGGGGAAAAAAAACCACTGACCGCATTAATAATATAAGTTCGGACTTCGGGGCTGTCGAGGCTATATTTCATGGCCAATAATATCATATCAACTGGCAGGCCATATAACCTACATATCTGCCTTCATAAAAAAATAATTCTGCAGTTATTTCCTTGCATTATTATTCTATTTTTTATTTATTGAAAACTGTATTTAATAACAAATATCTTTATCAATTCCATTGTATCTTTATAAAATCTTCAAATATATTATGCACCATGCCCATAAATAAGTGTCATGGATTCTGTAACCCTGTTATAGTCCATTATACATAAAGTGACCTTTTTTTTCGTGTCAAAGTGGGACGCCTACGCGCCTACGGAATTTCGTATATAAATAAGTACTAGGGTATGTCGGGGTAAGATGTAATATTTAAGTGCAAAATAAAAAATATGGTTTAAAAAATTAATTGACATAATTTATTATGGTATCTTACCCTCATTGACATCTTAATTCTTACACCAACTTGCCGTTAAAATAATATTTATAAATAATATCGCAACAAAAAACTACTTTTCTACAGCAAAATTAGAGTTACTTTAGGATTACAATAAGGATTTGGGATAAGTAAGTATTCGGTAAGTTTCTAATAAGCCTATGCACAACAGATAAATGAAAGCGGGACATTTTTGTTCTTTTGAGGACAGCGGGATGGACAGCCTGAAAGCGGGACAATCCCGCCCCAAGCGGGACGTATGGTCACGTTAATTATACAGCAAACTATTCATAAAGCAGAAAAGGTAAATAGTAAAGGTATTCAATATTATTAATGTACTAAAAGATACAGGGAACGAATTTTAGTTACCTATAAATTTGGCTATGAGGTTGAGAAGAAGTCAATAAAGGACACACTGGTGGGGGTTCCTGCAAAAAAATATACTCCTATAAAATTAAAGAAAGGTTCAATGTTCAGAAACAAGTCAGTATGCATGACATACTCTAATCGCCTGCATTGGAATATGCACATTTGCACGGAATTTTCGCTGCTTAATTTCACGACGCACGCAACACTGTACACCTAGTAATACACAGCAAACACACGATGAGAGGCATCCTGTAAGAGAACAACTTTTCATGTAATGTATTTTTACTGGTGGTAGGACTTCTTGTGAGTCCGCACGGGTAGGTACCACCGCCCCGCCTATTTCTGCCGTGAAGCAGTAATGCGTTTCGGTTTGAAGGGTGGGGCAGCCGTTGTAACTATACTGAGACCTTAGAACTTATATCTCAAGGTGTGTGGCGCATTTACGCTGTAGATGTCTATGGGCTCCAGTAACCACTTAACACCAGGTGGGCTGTGAGCTCANAATATTTACTCCAGAATATCTTTAGAAATCATGATATCCGTTGCCGGACACTTTTTCCAGTTGTTACCCCCTGCCAGACACCCCTAAACTTTAATAAATTTTAATTATACTTTCGTTATACTATAAAAGCTAAATTTTATATATGTTACTTAGGGACTTATAAAAATATGTTACCCCAATAGCCGGACAGTTTTAATGGTTTTTACATCTTGCCAGACACATTGAGAGCCCGCTGTAGGTGCGAGCGCGAGGTAGCAACTGTTCAAGCGGGTGTGAGCGAGATAGAGTGCTTAGTCTATTGTGATCTTTTAAGATATCCAATAAAAAAATTATTTTATTACGTTCATAGCAATATTATAAAAAATAAAAAATGTTATTTTAATATTATAAAGTACAAACAAAATATTACTTGTCAAAGAAAAATATTTAATCGTTCTTATAATTTTCCTCATTGTCGTCGATATTGAACTGATGAATAAGGCGATATCAACATCGCTTTATTCATCAGTTTCTGTAAAAAATTAAGAAAAATTATACAATTTGAATAATAAAAAAATTATGTACAATAATTTGTCATAATAATTACATACCTGATTAGAGTTTTGAGCGAATCTCTAACATAACTCGGTAGTAGATCTTGGTGTTGTTTGTCATCTTTCAATACCCTGCCATCATTATCCGGTTCCATATGAGGTTGGATTTTTTATGAGTCGGGGTTAGCGGAGCGATGATATCGAAGGCGAGATCATTGACTAACGCGTCGAGCCGCCTGCCATTAGGGGTTGTGGTGTGTGAGTTCCACCTGATGTGTTTACAATTTAGGTCGCCCGCCAGAATGACAGAGCTTCCCATGCCGAGTAGCGCCTGCTTAGAACGGATAAATCCTATAAACGACAGCTGATGTGCAGTAAAAGATCACAATAGACTAAGCACTCTATCTCGCTCACACCCGCTTGAACAGTTGCTACCTCGCGCTCGCACTTACAGCGGGCTCTCAATGTGTCTGGCAAGATGTAAAAACCATTAAAACTGTCCGGCTATCGGGGTAACATATTTTTATAAGTCCCTAAGTAACATATATAAAATTTAGCTTTTATAGTATAACGAAAGTATAATTAAAATTTATTAAAGTTTAGGTGTGTCTGGCAGGGGGTAACAACTGGAAAAAGTGTCCGGCAACGGATATCGTGATTTCTAAAGATATTCTGGAGTAAATATTAAAAAAAAACCTTTATACTTTAACGAATTTAAGGTACTATTTTATATACCTTTACTGCCTGTTGCCTGCCCAAGTAACCACAATCGAAACTCTATAATCGCGGGTCGTTCTTACCTGTGTTGGAGACATACACAGAGAAACTTTCAGCTTTTATAAAATAACGAAGGTCTGGCTGTCGCGGGCTCTTGCTCTATTACACCAACTTGCCGTTAAAATAATATTTATAAATAATATCGCAACAAAAAACTACTTTTCTACAGCAAAATTAGAGTTACTTTAGAATTACAATAAGGATTTGGGATAAGTAAGTATTCGGTAAGTTTCTAATAAACACATGCACAACAGATAAATGAAAGCGGGACATTTTTGTTCTTATTGGGGACAGCGGGACGGACAGCCTGAAAGCGGGACGGACGTATGGTCACATTAATTATACAGCAAACTATTCTTAAAGCAGAAAAGGTAAATAATAAAGGTATTCAATATTATTAATGCACTAAAAGGTACAGGGAACGAATTTTAGTTACCTATAAATTTGGCTATGAGGTTGAGAAGAAGTCAATAAAGGACACACTGGTGCAGGTTCCTGCGAAAAAATATACTCCTATAAAATTAAAGAAAGATTCAATGTTCAGAAACAAGTCAGTATGCATGACATACTCTAATCGCCTGCATTGGAATATGCACATTTGCACGGAATTTTCGCTGCTTAATTTCACGACGCACACAACACTGTACACCTAATAATACACAGCAAACACACGATGAGAGGCATCCTGTAAGAGAACAACTTTTTGATGTATTATATTTACCATTACCTATTATATAATATAATAGATAGTAGCATTTATGGCTATAAGTTTTATATTTATTGTTTAGAATTAGAGGTGGATACATTTGAAAGTCACTTGGTATTATGATATTATCACCATGTACTGACCACCTAGATAAGTTAGAAGAATTTTTTTTTTTCATTAAAAAGCATACGATTGGATGTCTTCATTTATTATATATAGTCAATAGAAAACAGATTTATAAAATTTAAATCACTCACCAATATAAACTAAAACTCCCAAATCTCCATTTCTGTTTGTTCGTCTTAATACAATACCAGCAATACACAATGAAATACCAGTCAATATACCAACTACAAATATCACCTGAAAGTATTAGAAAATATATAAGAACATAAAAAAGAATTTTACAGCAGCAAAGAGAAATGGAATACTCAAGCAATTTGAACTGGTCCCTAAAAATATGGAAAATTTATTTTTCTACTTTTTATTTTACTACATGAGTCTGATCCTCCTGAGTTCAGAGTCCCCACGATCCATGGCTGAATAGGTACATGGTATGATAAGTAGCTATGAGAGCCAATAAAAAAGTATGTGACTTTTTTATTTATCAATCTCAGTTCCTCTATAATATCTATCACACCATGCAAGGGAACCAAACTGCAGAATGCCTATGCTCTTGCACTGATACTTCAGATAGCTATTATAGAAGAATAGAGAATAAGAAAAAAATATCAGATAATACACATGGATATTATATATGATGTACCAAGAAATTAGAGCAAAGGTTGAGACAAAGGCAACACTCCAAGAACTTTTGACTAATACTCAGACAGATTATCACCTTATAAGGACCTGTCACTTATTTACTTTGTAATCTATACCAAATTCCAAAAGGGCAAGTATTCAGTCTCTTTATTCTTAATTACAGGTCTATTACATAACTGTTATGTTGAGTGGGGTTTAAAAAATTGTAACATGATATTTTTAGCAGGCCTCTTCAAATAATATTTCAATTAAACTGAAACTTACCTGCAGAATATAATAACAAACATATTCAAAGCCAGGACAATGACCTCCACAAGCTCCAATGATAGGCACCTCAGGGCTTACTGATGGTATTGGAGGTACCGGTGACCTACTCAAAGGTGGAACATTGGGTTCAGGATTGTACAATGGCAATGAAAACGCTGAAGAACACTGTGGGAAACAATATGTGTCTTGCATATGAACTTTTTGTGCTTTACTGTAACTCCGCCATGTTCCTCCTCCATAAGGGGATTGGTATACAGGGGATGGAGGATCATCATTCCTTCCACCAACATAGTACTGTGGTAACTGAAAGATAAATATTTTACTGCTGTTATAATTTATCAAGAAGTCTGTAATGTGTGGCAATAAAATAAATATACATTTAATAATGTGTTCCTTTATCTTTGATCTACCGGTACATGTTATATGCTATGTTTGTTGTGCTAATATCTGCTACATAATATTCTGATGACATGTCAATAATTAGTGTTATCACATTTATGCTTTTGGCAAATTTATAATTCAAAGTTGGTCAAAAATCTCAAGAAAACTGATTGCCACTGAAAGTTTAAGTGAGATTTAACATTAAAAATAATACAAACTTGATATGCGTTTTCTGATATTGAACTATCAGTGCCGGCCTGATACACTGATGGGTTTATATCATCAGCCCATGGAAACTTAGCTCTTTGTTCAGCAGCCGACAGGATTTGTTGATTGCTTCGAGGTACTACTGTTGTTTGATACGAGTGAACATTACGAGACGAAAGTTGATGCTTGAACATCTTGAAGTTGACAGAGTTCTGGATTTTGTTTACCTAAGAAAATATTGAAACTTTTCTTAAACTTACTTTAAACATACATTGGTGAAAAAGATGTGCAAAGATATTTCACTTACATGATTTTCGACAAACAGACAAGAACTAAAACTATGTTATTTTGGCCATGAGTAATTAATAATTCAAAGCTTTGTATACATCTTATATATATGTGTTCATCATATTTATGCCAATTTATGTATTCTTAATCGCAGAAATTTATGGCCGACGGGTCTAGTAAGTAGCCAGCAATTTGTATTATTTATTTGAGAGCTTTTTTTAGTTTACTCCGAAGCATAGATTATACACTTAATCTCCGAAGTACATTATCTATGGATACTTTTTTTATAAGGGATTTTATGACCTGGTAACTAAGACCTTTAAGTCATGTCTTATTTTAATCTATTTCTTAATTTTATGAAAAATGTAATATGGAGTGAAATGAAATGAAATGAAAATAATTAAATTGGGACATTAATCAACTGGGATGAAATTAAATAAAATGAGATAAGATGATATGGGATGAAATATATAATCTCAGTAAAATGGTGGTTATTTACTGAGATTATTTCAGTGGATGTTCGAGTTTGAATATAAAAGTAATGGCCGGCAACACTTGTCACATGCAAGATTACAGATTTCGAATATTGGAATTATTTTAAATGTTTAAATCAAATAATTGTCTTCTCGTTAGTGAAGACAATGACTTCTCATCTAGACACGGTCAGAGCAACATCTAAGAGTTTTATAAAAATAAAATACATATTATAATTGTGTAACAGTGTTCAAAGTATTTGGAATATAATTATATTAATCATGAAGCAGAGTGTTTTTTAAATAACCCTTCATCACCTACAGAACCCAGTCCGATCAAATTTAACCGTCCAACAGTGGACTTTTTGGAGGATCCCGAGAAGTTACGTCCAGTGCCTTTGTTTCATTTTCCCACAATTGTGCACTTTCACAGATATTAAGCAGTTAATAAACCACCGTATTACACATTTAAACCCGAAGAAACACTAAATAGACAAAATAAAACAAAATCGCACAACTTTACTCCTCGCGTTCCCGTCAAAAAGTCCTTATCTATGGATACTGTACTACACAGGGAGACCCGTGTGTAGTGGAAGTGGAAGTAGACTAACGGGGTATGCGGAATAGAAGGAATTTAACAATAACACTTTTTAAACTTATAGTCATAGATCTTGTAGTTTTGAAGGGATTTTTTAAACATTAAGGCCCGGTTCCAAAAAATAACGAATCGTCATTGTATTATAACAACTAATCGTAATCATGCTACCAATACGTAGCCGTATATTAGCGTTCCACAACTATTTTACTTGCCGCGTTACCTACGAGCATCCGTCGGCGCGCTGCTTACTAACGAATCCCTCTGCGTTTCGGTAATGCAAATGATTGTGTTACAAAGATCCNCGCAATTTTCGGGTAAATAGGGATTACACATATTTTTGCATTTTTTGCTTAAACTGGAACGCTAGTTGCATAATTTTAAATTAGACAACAAAGATGCCCCCAAGACTCAATCATTTTGATCCTGATATAGCATTATATACATCAACAACTACCTTAAAATTGCTCATAAAGTTGAAATTTGTCCCTAATCGCCCCATTTTACGGTATTTATTTGAGAGCTTTTTAGTTTACTCCGAAGTATATTATCTATGGATACTTTTTTTATAAGGGATTTTATGACCTGGTAGCTAAGACCTTTAAGTCATGTCTTATTTTAATATATTTCTTAATTTTATGAAAAATGGAGTGAAATGAAATGAAATGAAAATAATTAATTTGGGACATTAATCAACTGGGATGAAATTAAATAAAACGAGATAAGATGATATGTGATGAAATATATAATCTCAGTAAAATGGTGGTTATTTACTAGATTATTTCAGTGGATGTTGGAGTTTGAATATAAAAGTAATGACCGGCAACACTTGTCACATGCAAGATTACAGATTTCGAATATTGGAATTATTTTAAATGCTTAAATCAAATAATTGTCTTCTCGTTAGCGAAGACAATGACTTCTCATCTAGACACGGTCAGAGCAACATCTAAGAGTTTTATGAAAATAAAATATTAAAATTGTGTAACAGTGTTCAAAGTATTTGGAATATAATTATATTAATCATGAAGCAGAGTGTTTTTTAAATAGCCCCTCATCACCTACAGAACCCAGTCCGATCAAATTTAACCGTCCAACAGTGGACTTTTTGGAGGATCCCGAGAAGTTACGTCCAGTGCCTTTTTTTCATTTTCCCACAATTGTGCACTTTCACAGATATTAAGCAGTTAATAAACCACCGTTATTACACATTTAAACCCGAAGAAGCACTAAATAGACAAAATAAAATAAAATCGCACAACTTTACTCCTCGCGTTCCCGCCAAAAAGTCCTTATCTATGGATACTGTACTACACAGAGTGACCCGTGTGTAGTGGAAGTGGAAGTGGACTAACGGGGTATGCCGAATAGAAGGAATTTAACAATAACACTTTTTAAGCTTATAGTCATAGATCTTGTAGTTTTGAAGTTATGGATTTTTTAAACATTAAGATTAAATTGTTGTATAATGTACGTATAATTAAAATTTGTATAGTCCTACTATTTTTGGTTTTTTAGATATGTATTAGGTAGTTAACTTCGATCAACAAGTAACTAAGAATACTTAAATGGGCATTAGATTGCAAAATAAATTCTTCCCTTTTACAATCCTCGTGTCCCGTACAGGCCCGTCGTGTCACGTATAACAAATGTATTTTTTGTATCGGAGTCTTCATAAGGCTAACAACTACAAATTTTTCTTTAATAATTGCCTTTTTATTATGGAGGGTAGAGGTATTTTTTATCACCTTGGCACTTGCAATTACAGTAATATAGTAAATCAATTGCCTGTTGCCATAATGAAAAAAAAAATTGGTTGAGCTATTCATAGATTAAAAATAATAATTTATTCTCACGCTTTGTTTTCACTTGTGATTTTAGACAATTTAGCAGAATTTATAGATAATAAATAATGAATAAAAAAACTGTGTAGGTCAGTCTTCATTCGTCCTCATCATCTTGAATTTTTTGGATTTGATGAGTACAGAAACAACAATAATAATGAGTGGATATCAATATGTGAAAAATGCTTTAGGGGCTGATTTTGGTTTATAGTAGAGGATATGTTTTAAAAATGATAAATCTTCTGAATATGGACGGCATCATGAATGACGACAACGATAAAGTAATTCTTGCTAGCAGATTCTGTAAAGATTATATTCGTGGTAGCTGTGCTCGCGAGAATTGTAAATTTATTCACGAAAAACCACCGAGAACCTTACTGAAAGAATTGTTTCGTTTCTGCCACGACTATCAAAACAAAGGTTGCTATAGAACAAACTGCAAGTTCTTACACAGCACCGTAGAAGATGAAGAAAATTTTTATCATACAGGAATTTTCCCCAGAGATTCACGAAATGTCGCGGTTTGTCAGGCTTATATACATGGATCTTGTTCTAATAAAGATTGTAAATACAAACACCCGTCTGATTTGATCAGCAACGAAGCTTGTAATGAAGCAGTAACAATTCATAATATAACTCAACCACAGTTTCGCATTCCTCTCTCTACAACCCTTAGAGATAATGATTCTCCTCCAGGAGCAAAATTTAGACGAATCACATATGAAGATACTGGAATTGAAAATCAAGTTCTGACTCCTGCAAATATTTGCCCTAATTGCGAATGTCTAGATCATAAAGTGAAATTATTGCATGATAACATAAGTGTTTTACTAAAAAAAATTACAGATCTATCAGAAAAGAATTTGCAACTGACTTCAATGAATGAATTTCTTTTGGAACAAACTGCTTCTGTGAGAACCGATCAGCCTTGTGTTATTACATCTCGACATGGAACATCAGCTCCAGTTTCATTGGCTACTGTAAGTGTAACACCAGTTGTCAGTCTTGCTGGTGCATTGCCTACTTTAGTTCCTGCAGCAGCAACACCGAATCTAACTTTGGCCCCAGCAGCATCAAGAGCACAATTGTTGACTCCTGCACCACAAATACTCACTGTAAGCACAACTCAACAACTTATGGGCAATTCTGGAGCCCTCATTGTTACTAGTGCAGGAGCTCAGCAGTTGATGCAAGTTAGTGATTCAGGAACATTGATGGGAGGCGGACAAACAGTAGTAGCTGTACCAGCACAACTGACTATAGCACAACCTGCTCAGCAGTTAATGAGCAATGCATCTCAAACAGCAGTTCAACAACTCGTACAACAGTCTGCGTTACAGTCTCAACTAGCTCCACAACACCAAGCTCCACAATATGCAACCCAACAATCTGTACAACATTTGGCAGCACAGCATTCTGCACAGCATCTGGCGCAACAGTCTGCTCAACATCTTGCTGCACAACAGTCAGTTCAACATTTAGCTGCTCAACAATCAGCTCAACATTTGGTAGCACAACAATCAGCTCAACATTTGGCAGCCCAACAGAATGCTCAACATCTTGCAGCACAACAGAATGCTCAACATCTTGCAGCCCAACAGAATGCTCAACATCTTGCAGCACAACAGTCAGCACAGCATTTAGCAGCTGCAGCACAACAATCAGCCCAACAATTGGCAGCAGCAGCACAACAATCTGCGCAACAAATGGTGGCACAACAGTCTGCTCAGCAACTTGCTGCTCAACAGTCTCAACAACTAGTACCATCGGCTCAACAGCTTGTTCACCAAACATCAACTCAACAAATAACTATATCCAGCACTAGTCAGCCAATGGCCATGGCAAATTCACAGCCTATAAGATTCCCAATTATATCTCAAAGTATTCTGCCACATTAATTTGTGAAAATTATAGTGTTATATATGAAATATTGTGCCGAGTTAAGTATTTATAAACTATCACATTATAGTTATAAATAATCAATGTTGATTGTAAAAAATCCTGACAATGTTAGGTAATTGTATGATTGCATGTAACTATTTGTGTTATATGTAGGATACAATTTTAGTAAAATAAAGTGATTAACAGCATTTTGATATTTTAGTGATATTGATGTAATAATAGTCACTGACAGTGCTGGTCAATGTTAATAGTAAAATACAAATGCAAAATATGAAGATAAACAAAACAAGAATGTTAATTGCAATGTCAAGTAGAGTGAACTATTTCATTCATTTGACATCTAAGTCTGCCTGTCAACCATGTTTACAAATTAAATACCATTGCTTAATTTGATGATTTGGCTAACAGATTCTGGCTTAACATAATATTTAAGAACACGGTGTAGTAAACTGATATTAACTACACCTTTATTTTTAAATAATTTAAGTACTAGTATTGTATAGTTATTGTGTTGTGTTCTATGGATTTTTTGAAGTGCATAATATTGCATATGCAATAAATAGCTGCATATTTACAATTCTGATTTCTATTCAATGTAATTTTCAACATGATATGAAGTGTCCCTACAGTACCTACACCACCACTACAAGTAAACCACCCATTAAAAAATGGGTGCTGCTATTCATCACTTTCAAAAATTGTGTCCCATTGTTGTTTTGCCAGTAGTGCTGGTAATCAAAATAACACTATAATTTATGATTTTATATATTCGAACTCTTGCCGTATACTGATGATGAATGAAAACGACGAGTGAAAGGCTATTTGTTTTAAGCGACATTATTGCAACTTTACAGTAGCTATTATCACTACATAGTATGAAACAAAGTCGCTTTCTCTGTCCCTATGTATGCTTAAATCTTTAAAACTACGCAACGGATTTTGGTGCGGTTTTTTTAAATAGATAGAGTGATTGAAGAGGAAGGTTTATATGTATAATAACATCCATTAAATAGTGGAGAAATCAATAATAAATTACAGTTTCCGAAGCGAAGCGAGGGCGGGTCGCTAGTAGATTACATTTTGGAAAAAATATGATAAAAAAACCTTTTTTCAGCCATTTCAATGTGGTAACATAATTGAAGTTCAATTAAAAACATCGAATTGTTGATACTAATACTAGATATAACGGACCTTTAATTACAAAGATGAATGTCTTTCACTCCTCCAAAATATTATTTAATCCTGATTCGTAGATTGGACTCCGAAAAAAAAGGAACTTAAACAAGCAAAAACGGAACTAGAGCTTTTTTAATGCTTAGATGAGTGGTGCTAAATAGTTGCTGGAGCCCAAAATCAACAATTACTAATACTGCCATGCACCTTGAGACATGAGTTTTCTGTCTCAGTTTTATAGCAACGGCTACCCTATCCTTCATACCAAAATGAATTTTGGTTTACGGCAGAACTAGGTAAGGTGGTGACCCATGCGGCCCACAAGACCTAGCACCAATTCACTTTTGAATTTACGCGAGGATGCATTACCATCCTGCCATTTTCCGTGTAGCAGTTTTAAAGGATGCAACAGATGTTTAACAATTGAGTTTTCAAATTTAAGTAGCAGGATGGAGTATATATTTATGAACTCCAGTATTTTGATAGTGATGAGCTTGTTCACCGACCGTGCGATAAACGGATTTATTTATTTATTTCACAGTTTCTTCAGAGGTTTTTTTAACCGACTTCAAAAAAGAAAGGTTCTCAATTCGAATGTATGTTTTTTTAATGTTTTTGATGGTTCTTTTTTCATTAAAAAGCTGACGCTTCCCGTGTGGTCCCATTTAAATTTAGTCCAGTTCTGATAATGGTATCCTTTAGAAAACCATATAAGTCATTAAGTATGTGCGCGACAAATAGATGAATAACTCAATATCACGCCAACCGATTTCGATGATTATTGTTTTTAGTGTATATTAATTTGTTTTGGAATATAGTTTTTTTCTACTTGAAGTCGGTTTTTGTTAAAGCATGTCTATTTGCAATTATTTATTGCCCTCGTAGGGCAGCATACATTCCTCCTGATGGTAAGTGGTTACCGTGGCTCATGCACGTCATCATTGCCAGGAGCATAGCTAAGCCGCTGCCTACCGCTGCTCTCCGTAAGTCTCATTTGAAGGACATGTCATAGTGCCTGGAAAACACTACAGGGAAGATCTCATTCCAAAGCCGGTTGGTACGTGGCAGACAAGTTTTCTGAAAACGCAGTCGATGAAGGCAGTGGTTCTAGGTAGTATGGATGAACTCTGTTCCGGTGGCGGGCGGTGCGATTGTATAATCTTAGGTATCTTCAATATACTTTAATCTTTAACGAAAATCCCTAAAATGAGAAAGTGGACTGTCATCTATACTAATATATAAATCTACAGTGGCTTTTACAGATGTTTCGTTATAACTACCGAACCATGCATCCGATTGACTTGAAACTTGGTATCCATATAGAAAATACATGTACTTAATGGATAGGCTAATATTTATATGAGTGTTGAACTCCGTACACCAGTTGCGGGGGCGTTAATGATGAGAATCTTTGTGGGGGTGAGAAATAATAATGTTAATTTTAAATGCCCAGCGAAGCGAACGGGTACAGCTAGTTTCTTATAAAAATGCTACAACTCAACTGTGAACATAATACAATATGCTGTGGGGAAATTAAATACATAGACACGATAAAGCTCGCGTGATTAAAGTCAGTATTAGGTATCTACCTAGCAGCTTTGTTATGCCCCTGAGCGATGGCGAAAACTAATACGCATCTGCCTGCAGTGACAATTAATAAAAAAATTGAATACATTAATGTATCAACCGCTTTGCAGGAAAGGGACAAAAAATTCAATCGCCCTAAAAGTTCAAACACTTGTAACATTTATTTTATGAATTTATTGGCCGATTTTAAGTTTTTTTTACTAAACATGTTAAGTACATTTACAAATGTAAATTTATTCCATTCTGCAGTATGCTTATTGGTTTAAAATTTAAATAAATACTACATCAGTCATATACACTGTATCGAATGTTTCGTTTATTTCATTAGTGTTGTTAATTAATTAACGTCGAACTCTTTAGGTAGGTACTAAACCTATTTGTTCTAATGGACTTTGCAAACAAACTTATTGAAATCCAAAGCCAAGTCTGCCCTTTACTAGGTAAAGCTTTGCTACAGTTATAATAATGTTTGTTTAATGTAAAATTTAATCCATCTTAAAATCCAGTGATCTAAGTTCTATCAGATGAGAGCTATTTGGGTCACAGTTGTTAAGATCGTCATTCTCATTCTCATTCTCGATTTGTCCTCCTATTTGACACTGTAAGTATGACGGTAGACGTCCTTGACGTTCCCCTTTGATCTTGTGTATTTTCCATTTGTGCCCTTGCAAAATCTTTCTGGAAATAAAAAAACAGTAGTATAGTTTTAATATCTTGAAGTTAGTAGCAGTGATACTATGTAAAGAAATATGTGTTTATAGTGACAGCAGAACCATATTGTTGTTATTTAAATTTAAGTTAGGTATATACGATCACTAAGTATTTTTTCAGGAAATTACACCATGGTTAGCACAGTATTTTGATAAGGACCGGTCATTGTTCTTGTCGAACCCGTCGCTTGCGACGAAGGGCTCGACGAGTAAATTAACTCTCAGACACAGCCCACCGAGTTTCTCGCCGGATCTTCTCAGTGGGTCGCGTTTCCGATCCGGTGGTAGATTCTGCGAAGCGGCTCTTGCTAGGGTTCGTGTTAGCAACGTCATCAGGTTTGAGCCCCGTGTGCTCACCTACTAGTTAAGGCGACGCTGATATAGCCTCTTAAGGCTATCAGCTTAGGTAGGAAAAAAATGAATAGATAAGGAATAATTATTTAGTCTTCCATGACCACGAAATTGAACTGTGCTAACTGTGATTACGTGAGGTAACGTGATTGCGTGAAGCACCAATGCGTTTCGGTTTGAAGAGTGGAGCACACACTAAAAACTGAGACTTAAAACTCATGTCTCAAGATGGGCGCCGATTTTGACGTGTTTGATGTCTATAGGCTCCGATGAGAACTTAACATCATACGGGCCGTGAGGTCGTTAACCCAACAAAGCAATGAAAAAAAAAATGAACGGCGACGAAGCGTCAGATATAATAAACGCGAGATTACGCCGCAAAATTAGTTTTAAGTGTGGCTACGACTCCAGTCCTCGAGTGATGCAGAACTTATCTAAGGCGGTTTGAGAGCAGGGCGATAAGTATTGCGTGGAGCGTATCCCTCCCCACCGGACGACACACCACGACCGCCGTCGGTAGGCGGGCTTTCCGTATCCAGGAAGACTCAATAAATAGCCTATTATTTACAACTGTTTGAATTCGGAACGTCAGTGTATTTTTTTTCCTACCTAAGCTGATAGCCTTGAGAGGCTATATCAGCGTCGCCTTAACTAGTAGGTGAGCTCACGGGACTCAAACCTGATGACGTTGCTTATACGAACCCTAGCAAGAGCCGTGCTTCGCAGAATCTAGCACCAGATCGGAAACACGATCCACTGAGAAGATCCGGCGAGAAACTCAGTGGGCTTCAAAAGTGTCAATGAGCGACGTCCGCTATGACACTTTTCCCCTTTTCAATTCCAGCCGCCAAGGGTGACACATCGATTTCATATATTCATATATCTTTAGTTTGTCACTTATGAACTAATAAATACAGTCCACTCTCATTCACCACAACGCAACAACAACTAAACCATATTATGCAAATATTATTTACACAATCAATGCAGTATGTATTTACTCAGAAGAATTGATTTATTATTTCAGTTGTGTGTCACGTATACATTTATATCTATACAAGGTACATTTGTACCTGCACATAAAAGGGTAACTCACTTTGTATTGAATTTCTTATGGCATACGTTACATTCAACCGTTCCCTGTCTCAGATGTATGTCTTTGATGTGCCTTTTCATATCATGTTGATAGGTAAATGCCTTATCGCAGTAGTTACACTGAAATAATAATTAAATATACATTATTCATTAGACTATTAGAATGTTCTATTATGAAAATATTTATTACATTCTCTTCATCCTTTCAAGTTATTTTTTAGAAATAATTATATGAAATAGCTTTTGCCACTCCGTCCGCGTGGAATAATTACTTTGGCATAATGTTAAATTTTATCCCCCACTTTATTTACGTAGAAAGTGAAAATATTTTTGAATTATAGAATGTTAAGGAGCTATTGAAACCCCTATTTTGAAACATTCTTTATTGGTGCTCCACTTGTATTGCTCTTACCATGATGTTATAATATAGCCTATAGCCTTCCTCAATAAATGGGCTATCTAACACTGAAAGAATTTTTCAGTAGTTCCTGAGATTAACGCGTTCAAACAAACAAACTCTTCCACTTTATAATATTAGTATAGATAAGAGTGTACCTTATGTGGCCTTGCTGTGCTGTGGACATGTCGCATGTGTTTAGCAAGGTTGCTCGATGTTGTTGTACCTTTAGGGCACAAGGAACATTTGAAAGGTTTCTCACGTAAGTGAGATCTTTTATGTACCCTCAACAAGTCCACAGTTCTACCTTTGTATGGGCATACGTCGCATTTATAAGGAAACACGTTTTCGTGTGTGCACCTAAAATTTTGATACATTATTTGTAAACATTTTATTACTATTCTAGACTGGTATGTGTGGATGTTACATGATTTCTTGATATCATAAAATCTTCATTTGAGTTAATTCTTTATTTTTATTTTATATAATTACTTCGTAATGCCTCAATCGAGAAATAAAAGACCTAAACTTTTGTATAAAATAAACTTAAAACAAACAAAAGAAATTTGTCCGACGGGGGACACATCAAAGGAAAAACAAAATTGTTATTTTTATTTCATTCCGAGCATTTTCATATTTATTTAACTTTTAAACCTTCTCTGTACTTCCACAAATAATTCAAGACCAAAATTAGCCAAATCGGTCTAGCCGTTCTCGAGTTTTAGCGAGACTAACGAACAGCAATTCATTTTTTTATATATAGATTTATAATGAAGTGAAACTTTTATATTTACCTTAACTAAGGTCAACATACCAGTAATAAAATTTAGCATATTACAATAAAGTTGCGTAAGAAAGCACATACATACATATGTGTTAAGAGGCTTGCCTTAGAAACTGCTGTTTTACCACATATGTCACATAAAAATATCTTTTTCTGGTTAGCTTCTTTTTGTGTTTTTTTAGATGGTTTAGGAATTGAGGAACTTTCCTCTAAGCTACATTTCATCAGATGAGTCTCGTATGATGTCTAAAATATAAAATAAACGATTAAACTACAAAACTCCAATTACAATATAAATTGATCTACTTCTACTAGATTTTTTTCCCCTTCCTATGCTGATAGCCTTGGGAGGCTATTTCAGCTTCACCCTAACGTGTGTAAGTGAGCTCACGGGGCTCAAACCGGAGTGTTGCTAACACTGACCCTAGCAAGAGCAGTGCTTCGCGGAATTTACCACCGGATCGGAAACGCGACCCACTGAGAAGAAAAGAGAAGAGTGGGCTGTGTCTATGGGTTAATTCGCTCGTCGAGCTCTTCGTCGCAAGCGCCGGGTTCGACGAGGACGGTGACCGGTTCTTGTGGTACCTAAAAGCACCGTTAATGGATCGGGAGGATCCGTAATGACGGGCTTTGGGCGGCGTCGACGGTTTACTATTCGGTCTACAGGATCGGGTATGTAGTTTCCAGCGGCCATGACAAGAGGGTTCTCATGTGTTGCCGCCTTCTCGAAGTGCGTCTACTAGAACTATCATATACTATTTATATATTATACTATTATACTGTGATAATATAATATTAGTTGTCTTAACAACTCTTCACTTACTGCATCACAAAATTGCTTATTACATATTGAACAGTTTAAACTTTCGGAGTTATCATCTGAAAAGTCTGGTGATGGTACTTTATAAGAGTAATCGATTTCTTTTTGGGTCTTGTCATTGTCTTCGTTTCTGTTGTAGTCCACATCACATTCTAGAGAAAAAAAATTTTTTAAAGACACAATAACTTGTTAATATATCTACCTTACACAAACTCATGTCCCACCTCAATGGTGTCACTTTTAAAAGTGTCAGTTAGAAAGAACCTTTGCATGTGTTAACATTAGACCTTAAAAATACTAATGGAAATTAAATAAATTTATCCAAACCAAATACTATCCGTTCTTGCTTTTGGAATTTTTTTATTGAATTTATTATTTCTTTAAGCTATTTTCGTAACCCATTCTATTTATCTACAAATGTTCACGATTGACTTCCACGGTGAAGGAATAGCATCATGTAATAAAAATCAAACCCGCAAAATTATAATTTGCGTAATTATTGGTGGTAGGACCTCTTGTGAGTCCGCACGGGTAGGTACCACCACCCCTCCTATTTCTGCCGTGACGCAGTCATGCGTTTCGGTTTGAAGGGCGGGGCAGCCGTTGTAACTACACTGAGACCTTAGAACTTATACTTCAAGATGGGTGGCGCATTTACGTTGTAGATGTCTATGGGCTCCAGTAACCACTTAACACCAGGTGGGCTGTGAGCACGTCCACCCAACAAAGCAATAAAGAAATTTATTTATTTATTTTTCCAGCCTATAGACGACCACTGCTAGACATAGCCTCTCCTCAGCCTTGCCACAATGACCAGTCCTGTGCTGCCTGCAACCAGCAGATTCCCGCTAACCTCAATAGCAACCTATTTTTGGTCGTTTGTGTAGCTCATTTGTGTAATGTTATGTAGAGTTAATGTTAAAATATAATGAAACAATAATTCTACCTGTTTTAATGGAAACCTCCAGTAACATTTCATTGTTTTTCTGACATATCTCTCTAAACATTATACAACCATTCAATAGATCAAGACAGCTTTGACACATTTTTTTAGACAAATTGTCTGTTTTGGATATCTGAAAATATTTTAAAGTCAAGCAAAGAATATAATAATTACCTTTTCTATTATGCAATAGCAATTTATGTGATGTATATATATAATATATACTTTTATGCATTATTAATGACACGGTTCATAGTATTTTTAAACTCTCGGATTTTGCTGTTCTTTTGCTTTAATTTGGTACTTTTGTGTTATGAAAACAATATTTCTGTGATATTTTAATAAAAATTTTAAATATTCTAGAGCTTGCTTTCTCAAGCCATATCTTTGTGAAATATAAAATTTGCAATAACAAGTATCTATGCAAATTTTTGCTTATTTTATGGTGGGACAGTAACACCTTTACAGTTTTGAGAAGATTAACTTACACTCTCGAAGTCTTTTAGTTTGTATTTTCCCTACCTATTTGCTGTTAACCTAAGAGGCTATTCCAACTACGCCCAGACGGGTAGATGAGCTCAAGGGCTCAACCTGAGGGAATTAGCTAATACTAGCCCTAGCAAGAGCAGTGCTTCACAGAATCTACCACCGGATTGGAATCGCGACCTACTGAGAGGATCCGGCGACAAACGCAGCGTCTATTGGTTTGTTCGCTCGTCGAACTTTAAGCATCGAGAGTCAATCTGGGGGATCAGACAAGACATGTTTAGGGCGACGGGATCGCGATTGGATAAGTAATTAGCGTCGGTCACAATAAGAGGGTTTTTGTGAAGCGCCGCTTTGTCGAAGTAGCTTTCTGACGCTTTCTTAAGATACTTGCGTATTGATACTACATTTAGGTCGCTGTGAAGATTTACATTCCTCCCATACCACGGCGCTCCTCCGGCGATCCTACAGAAACGGGATTGGATGACCTGTAGAGAGTTAACGTGTGTACGGGCCACGTGAGCAAACACTGCACTTGCATAGGTCTTGATTTTAATTGTGGGAATAGAGTTACCACACCTAATTTGTGAAGAGATACTAGCAGTAGCGTCGGGAGGGCGAGTTATAATTATATATTACAGTTTACTAACAGTGACTCCAGAAAAATGTTTTATCTCCTCCGGAATATTCTGATGTACAAGATTGTCAAATATAGGAATCTCTCCTTTTTCCTCATTGCATATTCTGCACATAATTATTGTCGTTTTCTCCAAATTTCTTCTGAAAATTAGAATAATTCATTCTAAATTTATGAGCAGTATACATCAAGATTATTCAAAATATAGGTTTTTTATACTTAGTTTGAATGTTATGGTAGGCCTAAATGTGGTAATAAATGTCTTTTGGTTGATGAACGTTGTCTTTTTAAGTTTGTAATATAAGTGATTGAAAAACTACAGCTAAATAGCGGTCGTTTAAGTACTTTATTTTTATTTTGTATTGATTATGTATTTACTCAAATTGTTAAATCTTTCAGCAATGTATTTAATTTACCTTTTCCGTAACTTTCGTATTTTCTTTTTCTTTTTGTTCTGTAAAGCCTCTGCCAGCAGCATTGATTTAATGAGAAGAATAGAAGTCATCACGGAAGGTACCGTATTTTATCATATGAAATTATGAATGTCTTACTGTGGGTAAGGGTAATATTTATCTACCTACCTACAGTTAGATTGACAGTGAAAGTTTGTTTGTTAATTGTTTCGTTAACTGAATAGACAAACGGAACGAAAACTCACATAGCTTAATCTTTGGGAACAAATGGACGAAGCCTTGTCTCATGTGGAAACTGAAATGAAATGGGATTGGATTGACTTTTTTAAAATAGATATTTAGTGGAGTGGAGTTGAGTGAAGAGATAACTTGTTTGTAATTTATTAAGCCATCAGTGGATTTTTTGGAAGAACTGATATCACATTTTGCTGTTTTATTGACTAATGGCTTAATAGTCTCGTTACCAAGGCATAAAATAATAAAAAAGCAATCAAAATGGTTCAATAGTCTGGTTACCAGGCCATAAAATTAAAAAAATCAGTTAATCAAAACATATCTAAAAACTGAACTTCATCTTACTTAGTGCATTGGAAATAAAAAATAATTATGTATTTCAATGTATAATTTGGTATAAATTCTTGTGTTGAATTTTTGTGTTAATGCTGCAGAGTTATCTATAATGGCGTTTTACATTACGAAGTCAATGTTATCAAAATTTAATAAGGAATCATATCAACCTTATTCATTTGGCGAAGAAGAGAGAAGCAGCAGCAGTAGTGATCTATGGCAGCAGTTTGACGGGTATTTTGCAACAACAAAGTTAAAACACTTGAAATAAATATTTTAGTTACATATCTTCAACAACTACAACAATTATTTAAAAAAACCTTTCTTTATGTAAACACAATATTCAATATCATTTGTTTTGTTTATGAATTTCAATTTTGGTAAACCTTATTAATTTTATTTACTAACTAGCTTACACCACAAATTGAACGATGATATTAAATACAAAAACTGTGTACCAATTTTCGACCAGCTTATTTATTTACATAGAAAACACAAACATATGTATGTAATTGGCATGTGTATGAAATAGCATATAAATACTAAAGCAAATAAGTACATAGAAAAACACTAACATATTATGTCTGTAATTGGCATGCGTATGAAATAGCATATAAATTCTTATGTTCCAGGAAAAAATCTCTACAATTATCAAAAGAAATGATATGCAGGGTATGTGCAAGAAACGGTTGTACTCCATTAACTGAAAAGTTAAACAGTTATGATATTATTAGTGCCATTCGGAGCATTGCCAATATAACGGTAAGTGTAAATTCTTTATTTTTAGCTTTTTAAAAACAAATTTATTTTTCAATTTTTGTTTTAAACACAAGTTGATGACAGATGAAGTATAAATTTTATAATGTTATAAATATTAAGAATAAAATTTATAAATTATAAATATAGAACTATGTTTATGATTATTATTATCTCTAATATTTTTTGACTTTCAGATTGATTTAGATGATTCTTTGCCTAAGTATATATGTACTGAATGCTTAGATATGTTGAAAGTTGCCTTAAATTTCAAAACTAACTGTGAAACAGCTGATAAAAAATTTAGGAAATTATTGAACCCCATGGGTAAGTATCAAATCTTTATTAGTTATAAATTATATTAATTAAATATATAAACATAAACCCATCCAAAAAATTTATATACTAAAATGTGGATCTTTGCTTACTTGTTTGTGTATTCAAATTGCTCATTTTGAACTTCAAACGGGAGGAATAAATATAAAAATGCCACTGCCACACTACTAAAATACAAATTACAAATTAATATTAGAATAAAAAAATAAAAACATGGAGATAAAATTTTCTCATAACAAACACATTTTCTTTCAGGTAACCCAGCTTTCTATTCATATCCGTATTCCAAGAATGATTTTCAATTAATTTTACATAAGATGAAAACTAAACAGCTGAAGATTGCACAGGAAAAAGAGAAGCTTCGTATGAAGAGGGAAAAATCAATAAACAAAAAAATGCCCAAAGTCAAACAATTCAAATGTTCCCCCTGTGATGTAGTTTTCTCTACAAAAGTAAGTCATGAATTTTAAAGCAATCTGTTGGAAACTACCCTTTAAAAAAAAAGTCAATAATATGCTGACATGATGGTTTTGATTTCTATCTTCATTTTAAAGCATATTGCGTATCACATCTAGGAAACAGCCAAGTATATAAAAACAGTTTGTAAATTGCTAATAAAATGTTAAATTAGCCAAAAATAATTAAGGAAAGGTTTATCTCATAATTTATTTATAAATATTGTTAATGTTGTCAAACAAAGAAATCGAAAACAAAAAATAAATAATTGTATTATAATTGAGTATGTACTTTGTTCTGTAAGTATACAGAACAAAGTACATACTCAATTAATAATAAGTTCATTTTAGCTTCAGTAGAAGCTAAAATGAACTTATTCTTCTGTTAACGAAATATTTTGAAATAGGAAAAATTGATGGTTCATCGTCGCGAGAGACAGTGTATGAGGCGTGCATGTGATGTGTGTGGCCAGCTTGTCCTCAGTATATCGCATCACATGCGTCAGATACACAAACAGACAGTGCCTCATAAGTGTCCAACTTGCAACAAAGAGTTTTCAATATTGGCAAGACTCAAAAATCACATGTGAGTATTATTATTTTATACATTTATATATTAACTGTGTATGAAATACCTAAAAAATAACAATCACCTCAATGTTAGAGGACATATTAGTCATTCATATAAGCATTCTGATTTAAAGAGCACCAATTATAATACTAGAATGTAAGGGGATTTCGGCTTAACCTTATAGTTTAGAAAAAAGCTTTAGTCCAGAGTGAAGATTGTTTTCTGTCGTCGCTCTCTAGTTCATAAACTACCTGACAATTATTAGATATGTTAGTACATTAAATTACAAACCGGCAAATACACTGTCATATTGATTAAAGCAGATAAATAATATTTTATATGAAACTTTGATCAAATCCATTGTGCCATTTTTGTGTATAAAGAGTAGGTATACAACATTTTATTTTTAAAATATTACTAGCATTCGTTCCTAGCGTTCGCAACAGCGCCAGGGTAGACTCTAGTTTATATCGTGCCGAGGGAAGCCTATGCCCAGCTGTGGGATGTAAGGTAGTTTGAATTATTTCGGAAATTTCAAACTTTTTCCATACCGAATTTCGACAAAATCGGTTCCGTGCTTTGGTGGTGAAATCGTAACAGAGTACGAGAGTTGTACTGTAAAAACTCGTGACATTAGAAGCCATGTCTCAAGGTGGGTGGCGGCGTTTAGGTTGTTCATGTGTATGGCTTCCGGTATCCAGGTGGGCCGTGAGCTCGTCCACCCATAAGATATAAAAAAAAATGCGCCCTTTTTTCCTACTTAAGCTGATGGTTTTGAGGGACCATTTCAGCGTAACTATAACTAGTAGGTGAGCTCATGGAGCTCAAACCTGACGTTGCTAAAATTAACCCTAGAAGAACAGTGCTTCGCAGAATCTACCACCGGATCGGGAACACGACCCACTGAGAAGATCCGCGAGAAACTCAGTGGGCTGTGTCTGTGGGTTAATTTACGCGCCGAGCCCTTCGTCGCAAGCGACGGGTTCGACGAGAACGATGACCGCTGCTTGGGGTACCTAAAAGCACCGTTATTGGATCGGGAGGATCCGAAATGACGTGTTTAGGGTGACGTAGACTGTTTACCGTTCGGTCCGCAGGATCGGGAATGTAGTTACCGGCGGCCATGATCAGAGGGTTCTCGTGTCGTGCCGTTTTCTTGACATGGCGCACTGATGTACATATTACCTGATGGATTACTCTAGGTCCATATTGTCGTGGATGTCCACTTTTCGGATGTACCACGAGGCCCTAGCTATCCTGCAAAGACGCGATTGTATCATTTGAAGGGGTTTCAAGCTAGCGCGGGCCGCGTGAGCGAACACTACACTTGCATAGGTCATGACCGGACGTATGCAAGTTTTGTAGGGTGTCACCTTATTTCTAAGGCACAATTTATTTGGCTTGCAAATCATCGGATAGACGTGCGCCCGTAATCATTACACAGTTCGTAAATACATTTGGCCGTCTATGAAAATAAAATTATTATTTTTCAAATTGACATATTTTGTTCCAGGATGATCCACACAAACACATTCAATTTCTTCTGTGATTTGTGTCCGTACAAGTGCAAATACAAGTATTATCTGGTGTTGCATATGCGCACCCACACCGGCGAGAAACCTTACAAGTGTTCACAGTGCAGCGCTACTTTCGTAAATCCTTCGAATCTCAACAAACATAAATTAACACATCAAGAAAAGCAGTATAAGGTTCGTTATACATTTCATAATACTAGAGGTCCCGCAGTAGTCGAAATTCGACTATAATTAATTGGAATTGTGAGTTTGTACACTATTATGATTGTATTTTATACTTCTATAACCACAAATTTCGCCAAGACTACACTATAAAAAATATTAACAAAGACAAACAATATTTAATCTCAATTTGACAACAGACGTCAAGAACCAAAGTTTGACAATAAATAGTATACATGCGTGTGTGCGTCAAATACACGATATGTAGTGTGTGTAATGTTTTCTTTATTGATTTAATGTATCTTTTACGCATTATTTTAAAAAAATATTAGCATTGTGCACTTCTTCTCTATAATCTCTTTAAGTGTGGGAAATTTCATACTCCTCCGTCCGCGCAATTTTCGTAAAAAGGGATACAAAGTTTTTGCTTCACGTATTAATATATAGATAATACCATTCTGCTTTTTTCTGTTGCGAACCAATTTTGTATTCTATTTTCAAAGGGGCCGGAAAAATGTGAATCTAATGATATTTTAGTGAGTTTTTTTTTTAATTTGACTGACAAAAGCTGCTTTATGTACCCATGGAGCATTAATTAGCATGTATTTCAACATGTACTGATCAAATTAAAGTATGCTGTAGGATTTTTAACGTTAAATCGAAAGACGTTACAAAAATTTTACACTAAATTTAAACATAGGAATTTTTCAAATTAGCGTCCACAAAAATAATTTGGAACCACTTTTAAGAGACA